CAGCGACGACGACGACAACGACGACGACGTCAACGATGACGAGAGAACTAGCGTTAAAGCACAGAAGGCGGAAGGAGAGGCGAAGAGGTGGAATTAGCGCTCGCGCGAGTATAATTGGCCGTTCGTTCGCAATAAGTAATCGCTCGGGGCTCCTTCGTAGACGTTCTATCGTGTAAAATTGAAACGCTCCACGACTCATGGGAGCTGCTTTTCCAATGGTCTCAGCTTTTCATCTGCTCCGCGTTTCGAACGCTCTTCGCTTTAAACGAAATTGTTTTCTTTATGCTTGAAATTGTCACTATTCGTATACTATATAACGAATTGCGCGAATTCTTGATCGATTTTTTGAATTATGAACAGCGCGTTGATAAAAGTAGAGTAGGCTTTTATTGGTCGCTATTGATGAAAAATTTATTAGGAAGAAGCAGAAATTAAGAAACGAGCTTTCGTAAAGATATTTAGAAACGTCAGATATATAGCCGACTATTTATTTCCAATTCGTTGATCTTCTTGAAGTGGAATTACGAACAGAATTAAAATAATTATCTCGTGTTATCTCGCGTTATCGAAGAAATTAATTTACTTGGTCTGTAATGGGTGCAACGTATATCTCGATCGAGATACAGTGATTAACCGTTCCAACAGATTCTTAAAAATTTTGTTAATCGCACCATCATATCGTGATTCTGTATCTTTCTGATAAATCTGACACAAGTACTTATTTGCTGATATATTCGAAACTAGAAAGATGAAAAAGAAGTTTCTTTTAAATAAGGTTTAACACGGTGCTACATAAATCTGTGACATAACGACGTAAGCTAGTTACGTAAGTCGACAGTCGTAAGAAACGAAATACTTTTAAACGATGAATTAATTAGTCATTGCTGATCTTCGTTAAAATCTGTTGAAGTCGATTAAATCGTCGCTGATATCCAAAGGTACTGTACAGGGTGGTTGGTAACGCGAAAAAAGAAGTCGAAAATATAGAATAAAATTTTTTTTTTATTTTTTTAATTTTTCCATCGAGACAACGATCTACAGTGAGATCCGTTATAATCGAACGAAAAATTTTTATTCTATATTTTCGACTTCCTTTTTCGCGTAGAATCGCCCCCTTTCCGCTTGTACAACTGCAGTTCAAACTTTCGTCTCATAGTGTACAAAGTGAAAGAAATAGATAATCATTTACAAGAGGGCAGATCGATCTGTTGAAGTATTCAGTATGTTTGTGACCAACAGATTTACGATCGAGGTGCCAGACTAGAATTCGCGTGGTCGTTTCACGCGAATGCAAATGCGTGCATAGTCGTTCGTCAATTATAAAAACTGCTTGGAAATCGAGTCGTGAGAAATTTCCACGTATCTCACGTTCTACGTGCAGTCACGTACCATGGAAACTATGCTGGAAAACGAAAGTGTTCAAGACTCTTGAAACCTAGAAGCCGTGTAACAATTATCATTTCACGCGTTATGGTAATCTTTGTGTGACGTTTCTACCGCTTACATGGATATCATTCTTTTTTACCATCACATACAGTTTTTTCACGAATTTTTTTTGTTGTTACATAAAAACGACAAATAAGAGAAAAATCCACGAATAAGATTGATTATCTATTATATTCTATATTTTATTAACTATATGAAAATTTATATTCGATATTTACCATTAGCTCTTTACAACAGATCTACTTTTTTCTGAAACAACAAGAAATTCAGATCAAATATCGTTTAATAATCAATTTCCGTTACGCGATAGAATTATATATATATAATTGTTTAATTAGATTTTTCAATCGTTATCTTCATCAGACTCTGACATCAATCCTTTGCACGAGTGCGTAAGTTACGTGTCTCGTTGTCTCGTCAAATTGAATCGAATCACGTGGCACAGGTCAGCGTGTTGTTCACGTAAGACGTGAGCAATGGTAGTTGATTTCATATAGTTGGCTTTCGTGCCACGTGCGGTGGACTACACCTATTTAGACGTATGTCGGAACGATGTCAGCTATGTCAAGGCCTCTAAACATTACATTTCCCCCCTTGTCGTATGCAGTCGGAGCAAAAGATTTTGGTCGTTCAAGGTCCACGTTGCTTTCCTCTCCGTTATATTTGTTTTCGTTTTTTTGCCCTGCTCTCGTAAAAATCTAACAGCGAGCAATTGTATAAGGAGTTAGTATTTTCATATTTTCATAGAAATTTCATATTCTCAAATTATAATAGTACATGATATAAAACATCTTCAACAAAAATTTTATTAAAAAATCCTTGAAAAGAAAAACAAAAGTTTGGAGATGGCAAAATGTTTACGATTGATTATAATTCTTGATAATTTTCATTTGCTTGGCGTATGTTTTAGCAATAATGGATATTATTACAATGCATGTAATGTGGTAAAGAAACGAACGTAGTTCTAAGAACCTGGAGGCTTATGTTTATAAAAGTTTAGCGATGAATATCTGAGATCATGTATACATTTTGCATAAATAAATACATATATGATCATATGATGATTCTGTATCATTCTGATGAACTCTGACGAAAAGCTCGTTTGAACATGATGGACCTATGAATTTATAGAAAAATCTGATTAATAATAAAATTACAAAATTAAGGCATTTAATTATATCCCAGAATTTCTAATTTATTCTTATCATATTTTATTATACCAAGTTACTATACCGTTAACAGCATGTAATAATAATGATTTTTTCTATGTTTGTTACTTTAGAAATGATATGTAATTATAAATGAATGTGTTTTTTCGCTTCTGGACCTCGCTAGATCGATCTGGTTGGCAAGAAAAAATAGAACGTCTTTCAATGGATAGTCAGGATAAAAAGACATCGGATGTAGGACAACCTGTACAGATCGTACTTGCTCATCCAGACCATAGTTTCGAATTAAACGAAGAAGCCTTGTCAAAAATTCTTCTTGACGATGATATTAAAAATAGGAGTGTAGTTGTTGTGTCAGTAGCAGGTGCTTTCAGGAAAGGCAAAAGCTTCCTGCTTGACTTTTTCTTGCGATACATGAACAGTCAGGTATGTTATTATCACTGGTAAAATTGAAATATTAATTATAAGTTAGATTGCGGGTATTCTAATGGATTTATGGGAAATTTGAAAATACAAAAATACACAGAATACATGTAAAATGGAAATATATATGAAATATTCAAAGCACTGAGTTGTAATATTTAGCAGATAAAAATGATTAAATTTCTGTTTAGGTTTCATTTACTTAATTGCCTCCGTAGTCTATCTAACAAATATCCGTAGTCTAATTACTGTTTCCAATAATTTATTAGAATACTTATCCAGATGAATAGATAAACTAAACCGAATAATTATTTTTATTTTTTTCCATGCTTGCACGGAACATTGGCTGCGTAATTAACATCGATCATAGTATAATAATAATAACCAGACGGATTCTTGGTTGGGCCAAGATGATGAGCCACTGAGTGGATTTTCATGGAAAGGAGGCTCTGAAAGAGACACAACAGGGATATTAATGTGGTCGAAAGTTTTTTGCGGTACCTTACCGGACGGTGAAAAAATTGCTGTGATTTTAATGGATACACAAGGTGCTTTCGATAGCCAGTCGACAGTGAAGGACTGTGCGACTGTGTTTGCTCTAAGTACAATGTTGTCATCCGTACAAATTTATAATCTATCACAAAACATCCAAGAGGATGACCTTCAGCACTTGCAACTTTTTACGGAATATGGTAGGCTGGCGTTACAAAAGTCTGGTGTCACGCCGTTCCAGAAGTTACAATTCTTAGTGAGAGATTGGAGTTACCCATACGAAGCACCTTATGGTTCAGAAGGTGGAAAAGAGATACTAAACAGAAGACTAGAAATCTCCGACAAACAACATCCAGAATTACAAAATCTGAGAATGCATATTAAGTCTTGCTTCTCGGAAATATCTTGTTTTCTAATGCCACATCCAGGCCTGAATATTGCCACTAATCCTCGTTTCGATGGTAGATTATCGGAAATTCAACCAGAATTTAAGGAACAGCTCAAAGTGCTTATACCGGTGTTATTAGCTCCAGAGAATTTAGTTCCAAAGAAAATCGATGGTCAACTTGTGAAAGCAAGGGATTTGTTGGAATATTTCAAAAGTTACATGAAAATTTACAAAGGAAACGAACTTCCAGAACCAAAAAGTATGTTAGTGGTAAGTTTTCGTTTACTATATATTTAATTTTATAGTTCTATGCCTTACTGGTGAATTTGTTATGGTATACGTTTTATTTTTAGGCAACAGCAGAGGCAAATAATTTGGCTGCGGTAACGGAAGCGAGAGAATTTTATATACGATTAATGGAAGATGTCTGTGGATCAAGAAAACCATATTTAACAACAGCGCGTTTAGAGACCGAGCATGCACGTTGTATGGATAAAGCTATGTGCATATTTCAAAATAAAAGAAAAATGGGCGGAGATGCATTTAGTCAAACCTATATGAAAAAATTATGCGAGGTGAGAAACTGTTCGAATTTATGCTTACCTGATATTTCATCTTGATGCTAAAAATGTTAATACATGATTTATTACAGGATATGGATAAAGCGTTTGTTCATTTTAAAGCACAAAATGAAAGTAAAAATGTTTTCAAATCAACAAGAACCGCAGGAGTATATGGTGCAATTGTTGCCATCATGTACTTTTTATCCTCAGTATTTGGTTTTACTGGCTTATATTTGCTAGCAAATATTTGTAACTTCATCATGTGCATCTGTATATTAACCCTCATGTTATTGGCATATATTAGGTATATATATAATAGCAATTTACATAAGTACTTCGCAATTTTGATTTAACTATAATTATTCTTTCATCGATATAGGTACAGTGGTAATTACGACACACTTGGGGTAGTGATAGATGAAGTGGCAAACACTTTATGGAATAATGTAAGTAATGTATATTTAATTATCTACGTATAACAGATATCCGTAAAATCTCTATAGCTATAAAATTAATAAACTTAATTTATTTATTAATAACGCTAATTCCACGCGTTAAAATGATGAGAAGTAATTTGCATATGTATAATTAGATACTTTCAATTAGTATCCAGTTTTACATCGATGTACTGTGCACACATTTAATCATTCACATTACATAGCTATATCATATGAATAGAAATTTACACAAGTTCTTTTTATAGTTTTGCGACTTAAAATATGTATATCAAAAATTGCATTATCTTTAAAACCTCATATATTTAAAATATTACTTGAAATATTACGCACGCTAAATTTTAATGATGGTATTGTATGTAGCGCAAGGTATTAACTGGGTAATGTAAATAATTGCTGCTCATCATTTCACCATATTTCCTGATTCATACCTTCCACATATGATTTCTACAGGTCCGAGATATGGGTGTACTATTCACTGTACTTACACTTGCTGTGGCTGCTGCTTCATCATGGTTTATAATTTTATATGGTTTCATTTCATTTCCACTTCCTTCTCCACCTTCGTCTTCTACACGTTTTAGTTTTGGAGATATATCTAATTTTTGGGAACATTTATATTCTATTGTTGAGAAGTATCAAATATTCAAATATATCAACTATTACTTCGGCAATTATATAGAAAAGGGCACACCTCACCGATTTCAATAAGCTTGAAATATGTTGTCAAGGACAACATTCTGAACAATTTTTTGCTGTACATTTAATTACCGCTCGGCCTTCGTGTCCAAGATATACACAAAAGCTTCAATTAAATTTAGTTACTATTACATTTCATTCATACAACATAATAAGTGACCGCATTTTTATATGACCCAACCTAAACTGAACTCCAATCCATAGCCCATTCATTTTTATTTTTTATTTGCACAATGTCAAAAATAGTTTTCTTTCACCAATGAATTAAACTTAGGTTGGACTATATAAAGATGCCCGCCTACTTCAGAGTAGAGTGTAATCTTAACATGAATTGTATTGAGGTTTTTTGCAAATATTTCAGAAATTAAGGCCGAGTGACGGTAAGATGTACAGAAAAGAAATTTTTCCGAATATTGACTTTAGCGACCTTGACAACACATTCCGAGGTCATCAAAATTGATAAGGTGTGCCCTTTCCCATATAGTTACCATTAATTCTTATACTAGCTCTGAGTTGTTGCAATTCCTTTTTACATTACTATTCGTCCATTTTTTTTTTCTTTTTAGAGATACTTATATAATCTAACAAATATTATTAATAATATTTATAAATTATAGATTAAATTTCTACTCTTCTCTTTTTTTAGAATATATACATTACTCAACAGATACTATTTTTAATGATGTTCCTAAATTATGTGATTCCTGTTTAGATTATTATTCCCTCCTTTTTTTCAGGATATTTTACAGTACTTCACAAACATTATTTTTGATAGTGCTTCTAAATTATACGATTTCTCTTTGACGCATTATTCCTCTCTTTTTTCTAAATATTTACAGTACTTCACAAACATCATTTTTTAGAGTACTTCTAAATTATATGATTCCTGTTTAATTGATTATTCCTCCCTTTTTTCAGAATATTTACAATATCTCACAAATATCACTTTGTTTGGTATTTCTAAATTATATAATTTCTGTTTAGATTATTAGTCTAACCCTTACAGGATATTTACAACATCTCATGAACATTGCCTTTAATGATATTTTTAAATTATACGATCCCTGTTTAAATTATTATTCCCCCTTGTCTTAAATATTTAAATTATCTGACAAACATTATTTTTGATAATACTTCTAAATTATGTGATTACAATCTAGATCATTGTAAATCATTTTGAATGTAGTTGAACTGTTCTAACATTTGCATATATATTCTATCTTCTATATTCTGTATATATTATATACTCTAATCTTCATTACTTCTAATGTGTTACATTTTTCACTTATATAAATATTGCCTTTAATATTATGTTACTATTTTTTTTCCTCCTTAATGTAAGCTGAATACTAACAGGAGCGAATGTACAAAAGGTATGGGGTTTGCTTATAATTAATTTAGAAATAAAAATAATTCTTATTCCATATATTCCAGTTTGAAAAAAAGTGACTTTCACGCACAATTCATTTATCTTTATAAATTTTATCAAAGTTATAACGTTATATTTATAATTAAATAATCATTTTTATCATTAGATGTCATATATGTCATATTGTTTTCCATTTATAAACTAGAGTATATAAACATCAGTAATTGTTTTATACTAAATTTACATTAATTTGCAAATTATGCTTAAGTATATTAAAGAAAATGCACTTTTGTTTCTGTTCAGTTAATTAAACCAGTCTATCAACAATTTGTGGAGAAGTCAGTGTCTGTAGCAGTGGCTCAAGCTGCTGAAATGGCTACAAATACAACAATGAATGCCACTGCCACTGCCAATGGCAAGCCTAAACTATCATGATGTTCATTCCCTTTGTGTCCCAATTTCGCAAGTGCATTAGAAACATACATCAATGTATTAAAACCAGTAAGTGACATAACAAAATTTCATTGTTTTGACCATGTAATATGAGGCCATAAATAGCTTTTTCTTTGTTAAGTCACAAGGAAATACTGTACGTTACATATTTTAATTTAAAGTGACTGTGAATGTATATACAATATATTTTGATTACAATTCCTTGCTAGATTGTTGAAAATCATCATTATTAGTATTGTCTATGGTTGATATTACATTTGTTAGAAAAATAAAATTCCATAGTTACTGGTAAAGATAATTTGGATGAAAGCTATTGTTCTGGGGTTGTTAATGTTTATCATCAATTTTAATTTTTTTTATATTGAAATATATGGATATATATACGTACATAAAAAACAAAGTGTAAAGAAGTCTTTAGAAACAAATACGTCTACATTTTTTTTATAATATTCAATTCATGTTTAACTTTTTAGTTAGAGGAATATACGTACTTAAACGCATTTCAAGGTCACAAGGAAACGTGGTAAAATATTTTTGAAACGAAATTTTAATAAGACACACTTTGTATATTTATGCATTATTCTATGTATATGTACTAACATACCTAAATTATATCTGTGCCAGATTTACCCTACATCAGTTACTATTGTATTGTTTAATTTTTTTTAATAAACTGAAGTGTAAATACTATTCACTGTTCTTCACATTTAATAAATTTTAAATAAAATTGATAATGTATTTAATTACAATGGATTGAAAATACATATATGCCATGTAGTATATATCTTATTAGACTTAGCATTAAATAACTTTACCTTAGATTAATATTTTACAAGATATCAATTATGTACTAACAAATTTTTGAAGGATTGTAAATATAATAATAGCTTTATTTCTTTCCTTATTGTAAGAATAAGGCTTTTATCATAACAGACTAGAAAATTCAAAAAGTTTTATACTTCAGGCTTGTTTCTGTAACACTCCATTGCATGTTCTAATGCAGCAATCCATAGTTTCAGAAGGAAAGATTGCCGAAAAGGTTTTATATTCTAATATTCTGTGGTGATAGTTTTGAAACATTAATTATCTATTTGTGCAGTTACTAATGGTCACATTTATTTCAACAAGAAAATGTTATACATTCTGAACGCTTAACAAATATACTTTCATACATTTATTATGTATATGTAATAATATTTATTTTAATGTAACTTGCAAGCTATAAAATCTATTGTTATTTTGCTTCTACATTTTAAAATAATATTTAAGTGGTTCTAATCTTATTTTCTCAAAATACTTATAGATTCCATAATGTTTTCTTTAATAAAATTTTTTCAAAATAAAAGCACAAAATAATAAAAGTGCCAATATATACATTTGAAACTAATATTTTTAGAGGTATGTATTAATATACGATTTATATTTTGTTAAATAATAGGGGGAGGTTTATTATTCTAATTCTCTTATATTCTTGTTCCAATATTTAATCAATTTTGCAATATAATTATAAATGCAAGAAATAAATTGTTCTCTTGATGCATCATGTATTTTTGAATAAATTATACATAATGTAAAAATATTTCTGTTACTATTAATGTGCATATGTACATAATGTGCATAATGTACATATAAGCTACAAGAGAAATACAAAACATGTAAGAATAATTTAACAATAATATAGTTACATAGAATTACAAAGTTACATATTTGTAACAAATTCTTAATGTTGTAATTTTAAAGTAATACATTACTTGTAATATGTAAATTATTGTAGATAAAAATAAACACTTATTTTTTTATTTACAAAATGAAAAATGTTTATTTTTTTAATCCTTTACAGGTAAACGTATCAACATAATTTTTTAAGCTTTGAACATCTTTTTTACCATATCTTCAAATTTCTGGTTGGCCTCTTGTAATTTTGTATTATATATTGTAAGTTGTTCTTTTATTGCTTGGTTATGTGGTTCTAGACTAACAGCGTATTTTAGATCAGTAACAGCGTTTTCTACGTCTTTCAAATTTCCATGTGCCACTCCTCTTCTGTATAATGCTTTAACGTTGTTAGCTTCTTTATTTAGAATTTTATTACATAAGGATATGGTATGTTCATAATTTTTACGACTTAATTGACACCCAGCCATATTGTTATATAATATAAGTCTTAAATTATTAATTTTAGTTTCTAATGTCTTATCTAATTCTAAATCCTGAATTGGCTCTAATGTTATTAGAATTTTACAGGCTTTACTAAATTTATAAAATGCATCCACGTATCTATGTTTCTGAAATAAACATACACCTGCTTCCTTATATGTTAAAGCTATCGAATACTTGTCTTGTGGCGTCCATTCCCAAATTGGTTTATATGGTTGCATTTTATTCAATGTTATTTCGAACTTAATAACTAAACGATCATCAATGCCTTCTAACATTATATCTATTGTAACTAAACTTTTTTCTAACACCATCATCATTTGTATTGCTCGCTCAATTTGACGATCTATTTCACAATTTGCTTCACCTACAGTTAACATTTTTTTACTTATACCTTGTAAAATCTCCGAGTTAAATTTGTTTTTCAAATCCTCTACAGACGCATTGATAACGTTTATGTTTTCAATAACAACTTCACAAGAAGCGCAGTCAGTCGGTTTTCTCGAGAAAGTTCCTGGCTTTATTATATCTTTTCTTACAATATTATCTGCCGATTTCCACGTTTGAAGTAACATCTTTTTTATTTTATTGGTCTTTACCTATATTAAGTAATATAAATATAAATTTATATGTCAGTTGATTTCATTAACCCTTAAACTGTAAAAGTATATTATGCCCGGGCTCTTTCGATAGAGTTGAGTATCTAACAAAGTAATAGGTAGAAAACCTTATTTTCCTCCCGTTTAAAAGGTTATTCGATAAAGATTGTATGATAACCTTAATTTAGAACGTTTGAACATGTTATATGAATTTTTTGGCATTTTTTAAATAAGTATCATCTACTGAAACATGCATCGAACATGAAAGACCCAAGTTTATAGTTTGAGGGTATCGTAAAAACGTTTATAGTCTAAAGGTTAGTATGAATTTATTGACTTACATATATAATCTATATAATGTATATTATATTGTAAACATATATATATTGATAAATATACGTACTTCTTCAATTAATTATACATGTTTCACATGCAATTAATAATATTTACGAAATAAACAACGACGCGTCACTATGACGTTTCATCTAACCTTTACCAGATCTCAACTCCAAATATAATAATGCGCAGACGCAAAGTTCATATTTGTATGAAATTCGAATGAAAACAAGGAAAAATGTTTTATCAAATATTTGTACGAATTAATATATAGCGTAGGTTAATATTGCAAAATATAGTAATTTATTAAGAATGAAATTATCTTTAGATGTATATAATAAACTAAAAAATTTATTATGCGTTAAAAATAAAATTCTATATACGTATATAAGATGAAAAGAATACCCGAATATCTGTTGTTGTTTTTTCGAAGATCAAACGTAAACAATCAACAATCATAACGCAAAATATACATTTAAACTCAGCTGTTCAGGATAATCGTCTAATATCTCTGTATATACTTACTTATATACATTTGGATGTACAAATAGTTAAAACTGGAACGTGATTTTAATTTTATATACAGCAGAAATAATTTAAATTTCTTTATTTTCAAAAAATTATAAACTTCACATGAACAAGGAAGGTCTTACATTAAAATAAGTTGTCAAATATCTATATTAGTCAATATAAATAATGAAATTATTATATTTCATATGTACAATTAATAGAGTATCACGTATGAAATAAAATAAGTCGATTTCGATTAAATACCTTGTATTTCTTTTTTTATTATGAACATGTTTTACAAAGCAAAATTGTGTAATGGTGGAAATGGTGGATGGTGGTGGAGGCTGAGAACTACGGAATTAGTGTTGGTGGGGACAATTTAACAAGATCACTGGAAAAGTGAGTGCGGATAAAGGGACGTCGGCACAGTAATATAAAAAGTACTTTTCAAGAGACAGCATGAGGAATTAGGCCGGCACATTCATTCATCACGTTTCTAAATACACACAAGTACACTGCACTTTCGTATGTATGCATTCAAAACGACGAACGCATATGACTCGTGTTTTCTTAAATATCTGAATAATGACCCCACCTAGTTTTTATACTCCTTATTCAATTTGCGCTCTTCTAAGAGAAACGTAGCACAAGAACCGACCAATATTTTGTTTGTTTGTACACTTATGTCACAATTATACTTTTGCTTTATATATGTACTTTTTTATTAAAATAGGAATTAAACGTTTTTCACGCCTGCACATTTTGCTACCTTCGTTTGGATATAGAACGCAAAGAACGGTAAATACTTGTTTTTATCGTTTCAAATCCAAATATCTATCCGAATATCGATATTTCATAAATGTTAGGACCTCTATGTCTAAAATAAATGATATCAATTTTAATCGTTTTACAATTTAAAGAAGATAACGAAGGTAACATCAAAAGTCGCCTAAAAATTAGTTTACATCATTTCACTTACACAAGCAGTCTCAAAGATACGATATCCTACCAAAAGAAAATTAATTGTATTAAAACGTCGCTATGTCATTATGTATTGGTTTAGCGTGAAAATGACAAATCAGTATCATGGTAAAATTTTTTCGTTTAATGACCAATGAAAATCAATCGTACATTTGGGCTTCGAGAGGGGGATCGGATATCGGAATTCCGATCTTTTGTAAAATAGTGAATCTGCGATGTCATTGAACTCTATTAAATATTTACAAATGAGATCGATATTAAAAGTAATGAGCAATTAATTTGTTCCGTTTTTAACTTTTTTTCTCGTTTTTCTTGCTTTAATATTATATATCTCATAGTGCGTGCATAGGAAGGCGCAGATCAATGATTTTTTTTATTCACAACAAAAAAGTTCAGTCATACCACACCTTGCAGAGCCGACGAAAACGTGAACATGTTAGAATACGGTATTTCTTTCTTTTTTTTTCCACTAACAGTAATGGCGACTGGCAGATTAACAGACAGTTTGGCAGGCATGGTGAACATAAAATCAAACATATACACACGACACGATTAATCAAACCTTTCTTCTTCCTTCTTTCTCTCTCTCTCTCTCTCTCTCTCTTTCTCTCTGTCTCTGTCACGCACAACGCGCGCGCGCGTACGCACGCACGCACGCACGCACACGTAAGACATTCACTCCGTCTTTCTTCCTCTCGACTTCCGTTTCACACCCGTGATTACTCTTACGGTATCCTTATTTTCTATATCCATGAGGTCCTATAATATTATAACGTAGGCTTTAATATGCTATACTCGTAAGCTATTCTAAAAACTACCAGCTGCGTCGCCTACGATGCGGCACAGCCATCTTAATTAATATTAGGAATATCGGCAGTGAAATTCCAATGATAGACGCGGCGGGCAGGCAGTCAGTCCAGCAAAGTCTGTGGCACTTGCGCTGCTCCGGTGCAATAACGGATTAAAAAACTTGATCTTTAATCGGGGTGCCCCGCGCGTTAATTTTTAACATTTATCATTGCGACATTCACGGCAAAATGTCTAGAAAGATAATGAATTAAAATTAGGAGGGCACCCCATTGTTCGAACAGAGCGATTCTCCATCTTTATTTCCACCATGGCACCTTCGTCATCATATTTACCATAGCTTACTAACGTCATTATCATCTGTTTTTTCTTCCTTATATTCTATATTCATTTGTTTTTTCTTCCTTTTTTGTTTCCCGTCTTTTTCTTTTTCTTCTATTTTTTATGGTTTGTTGAAAAATAATTTTTTTTCTTTCTCTCTTTACAATACTTCCTTGTTTGATCGATCCGCGACGCCGCGGATCGCCGGTGTCATCGCTTGTATGATGAATCGATCGGAAAGAACGAAAAATAGCGTCGAATTGTCCGAAACATAAAAAGTTACTAAGATTACAAATCACAAATGAAATCACAGACTTTCGTTGGTGGTTTGACAGAGGGGAGGGGGCCGCACATTGCGATTAGAACAACATTGTAGGCATTATTCTTATATCAGGAAAAGTTTTGATGGGCCTCGTATATGTTTGTATCGGGAGTATCCAGTTTCTCTTGCAGCGGGTGACCCTCGACTCGATCTATTCCCATCCATTCTCCTTGATCATGTGAGCAAGCTCGATTATAAACTTGCCCTCTTTATACTTTTGACTCGACTCGAACGCATGCTCCTACAAAATTTCCAAGCGTCGTTAGCAAATACCCGGATCGATCTACGTGCAATACACGTATAGCTGTCTTCTTAGAAATTCTAGAGGGAACTTACGTATTTCCACCCAAGGGTGGTCTTACAACATTCACAGTAAATATCAGCGACAGCATGAAGGCCAGTTAACAGAACTCGCTCTTCCGCAGGACCACAGCCTACATTCACCCTAAAACAGCAAGAAGACCGATCGTTATTCTTTATCATTTACATAAATAGCCTATCGTATCGCTACAGGCCAACGGGAATAGATGAAGAGAGACGGGCATAATATACAGAAAGCACGAGAAGTTTCACGGGTAAAATAACGCGTCCTACTTTCCATCGCGATTTGATCTCGCCTCTCTGAAGACATTAGCATACTTACACGGAATTAAAGAGATAGGCACGACCTTGACTGCCCTGGAAGGACTGCAATCAAAAGGAAAAAGCCTGTATAGTAGACTGCGCATAGTTGCACACATATGTAGAGAATATATAGACGCATAGACACGCACAACACAAGTATACGTCGATGTATACAGAGCTCGGAAATGAATGCGAGAAGTCTGTTCGTTACCTGATCTATCACGGCTCACCTTAGAGATGAGTTCGTCGTGGTTGGCGAGGTGAGCACGGCAGTGAATGCACGAATAAGTGCGGTGACACGAGGGCAGGTATGCTTGAAAAGTTTTGACCATGATGGCGTATCCAAACAAGCAAAAAGGATATATGCTGTAGTAGGAGATAGAAAGATAAACGAACGGATGAGAAGGGGTTAGGGACGGAATCAAAGAAGGGATGGGCTACCGCGATCGTAGTAGCGGGGTGTGAGATCACGGTATCCACCCTTTTCGAAAGCAAATGATTCGCAAACGATCACCTGTCAAACAATAAGCGATAGTCGACCTAACGACTGACGTCGTTCAACAGGATCTAAAACACCTGACAATTCACTGACAGACTATTTAAAATAAAAGATTACGCGTCCGAAATTTCCGGTATTTCGCGCGAAATCCTCGCGGACGGCGTAGTCATGGATACTGCAGGATCGGGTAAAAGAGGCGACTGCCCCGTTACCCACTACCCCTTCTTCTACGAATGCGCGCCCCTCGACCGAAAATGTCAATATCCTCTCTCGCTGCGCCCGCGATGCGCTCCATGTTACTCTGAACAGCCCTGTATGCGTTTTCCCATTCCCCTTCGTCCACCTCCTTTCGACCCCTACACCAGCCCTTTCCCCCTCTTCTCCCCCTGAGTTTTACTCCTACTCCTACTTCTCTGCCCACCCCTCACCTGTTCCTTCATTCTCCCGATTTTTTCCTTTCTCACCTCTTCCTCATCCCCACTTATTCTTTCTCTTTTTATCTCTCTCAGTTTACTTCTCTCTCATTATTTCTCCTTCGGACTGTATGTCGATTACGTGTCTCCCCACTTTAGTCCTATCAGCAAGTACTTAAACAGGGATGTCACACAAAGATCAAACTATTTTTACTAAAATTTCGAAAATTTACACCTTATTTCATTTCTTTTCACTCAATCAGCTTATGCACTTTTCTCTTCAAAGTCTTCACTTTTATCACCTTTATCCCCTTTTGCATTTGATCAATTATACCGAATCAATTATTTAAACTTTCGTTAAACTCACCGTGAAACAAATGCAGGGTGATCGCTGTCACCGTCGTTGTCGCCGTCGTCGTCGTCGTCGTCGTCGTCGCCGTCGTCGCCGTCGTCGTCGTCGTCGTCGTCTTCGTCGTTAATTTGTCTTCTTCTTTTTCTTATCAAGTGTCCAGACGCCTCGCTCCTATTTCTCGACCTTGGTCTCGTCCTTCCTCTTTTTTCGTTCGTGGAAACGTCCGGCCGTTAACCAGTGATCGATTAATATATCAAATTTTTTCCAATCGCGGGGTGGTGGTGCAATAGTGGCCCCGTTCACCGCCGCTTCGTACTCCGATCAGCTGTTGAGCTGGTTCAGACAGCGCCGGTTCGGGGACACCTGTCGATAAACATCATTATTAGTAGTCAATATATACTCGCCGCTCTTCTCTTTGTATCTCTAATCATAGCAATTCTTATTACGGAGAGTTATAAGACCGACCGTGTGTTGTGCAACTTAAAATTACGCGCTTATAACATCTACGATGACGACACGCGTTGTATGCCACTGTTCAGGGATAGCCGCGTGATCTAACTAACGCAATGCGTTCAATCCGATATCATTAATCTCTACCACGAACAGATGACATCTATTTGAATAGGATCATCGAGATTTTATTAAAGATAAAAGGAAACTAATATCCGTAAAAGTTGAAATACATGAAAACGGATAGCGCTTTCTTCTGGAAGAAAGAAAATAAAAAGAGAAAAAGGATGAAAGACGAAAGGTCTCTAATAGCCGTAACATCTTAAGGTAAAATATTGCTATATATTCGAGTTGAGTAAACAAAGACAGTCACGTGCGAAATGGACTAAAATTACATTCGTTTGGGCATTAAAAATGAAACAAACATCGGCTTCTAAGCGTCTTCTTCGGGATCCGCGTTCTCGTTACGTTGTACGCTCTACACGCTATTTACTCGCTATCATGTATATTTATCCCACAACTATCAGTTCCGAGTTATTTATAACGGCCTGTTAAATAACGTGCGTGCTCTGGCTCCAAGCACGTTAAACCGCGCGCTGTGGCTTACTATTAGAGTGTACTATGGAAAACCAACAGCTGAGAAGAAGAAGAAGAAGCAAAGGAGGGAGAGGAAAAATCTCAATACGGTCGCCGCATCGCGTCGGTAAGATAAAGAGAAAAGCAGAAAAAGAATAGATAACGTATGGTGCACCGCATATATGAAAATAAGAAATGTATACGCGCGCACAGCGGCGGAACAGCGAAACTGCTTGAACATTTTGAAGCGCAATAGCATTGATGTACGCTCCATATCGAGCGACCGGCTACGCCACGTGCTGGCGTGTGTTCAAACAAAGAAAGGAGACAAGGTCTTTATTATGATGCACCTAAAGAAAGACTTCTTTATAAGGATCGAGGAAGCACGGGCCAGTCTCTCTTCTTGTTAAACGTTCACGCTTCCAACCTGTTTCTGTACAATGTTTTTTCTTTCTTTTTGAGATCACACGATCTTAATATGAGAATCATTTGCAGAGAGAAAACGTTAAAAATGTTGAAAAGGAAGGGATTTTATGAATAGCATTTGTACGACTTTAACCAGAAACTTTGGTTTAGTAGAAATTTAAAAAAGATCCTTTTAGGTAAACGGTTGAACGAGGTTTGTAAAATGTCTATAGAAAATACAGTGACCTTGGATAGAAAAGTAATTTTGTGAAAATCATTTCCAAATTCCAAGTCAAGGATGTTTAACGAACGATGCGTCCCGCGGCGGAGGCACTCAGGGGTTATATATGCCCGTGGTTCTTAAATGCAACTGTATCCTGTTGTACCTTACTGTGACCTTGAGCTGTCTGAAGGCCGCTGTACTCATCGTCAGAATCGTCAAGTTTCTTTCATATTTATCTGCTAAAGATACTGAAACAAAAGCGTAGCATTTTGGTTTGAAACGTCAATGTAAATTGTGCTTCAGGCAATCTTGAAAGAAAACGATTTCTATCGATATAAGTATATCAAGCACCGATGAGAAATATCGATATAGATGCATCGTCGAAGCCTTCTCGAAAAGAAAAATCTCGAAGCGGGACGCGATCTTCGTTTTCTCCAGCGCCCATTACCCAAAATTAATTATGTTAAAGATGGAGAGAGAAAAAACTAAGAATAACGACAACGCTGTGATTCAGTTCAAGGCCTCGAAATAAAATGTAGCATCGTTCATTAATATGAATGAGAAGTGCATCGTAATTATGATCATCTCGTTTCCATATTGTATTGAGAAAGACACACACACACACACACACACACATATAGTGGCGTACGTACATATAAAAATAAGAGAGCTTTTGTTTTGTTAGACCTAGCGAGGTGTTCCTGCTTTATAAGAATGAAAGAACGGTAACCTCTTATTTGGATTTAGAGAGCCAGACGCTTTCTGCGGCTTTAACCCGTATCCTCCTCTCCTTCCTCTTTTTTCCTTCTTCAATCCTTCTTCGTCGCGTCCTTTTCTTCGCCTACGTTCCCTCTCTTTCTCTTTCTTTCCGTCCTCCTCGTTCTCTTTCTTTCTCAGCTTGAATCAATCGAAACAATGATTCGTCGTGGCCTTGCGATAACGGTACTATGTACTTCACTTTTCAGGCTTATGGCAGCGCGCGGAATTAACAGCCTGTGTGACACAATCGCCGGACACACTTCCTGCTGTATTATTTCTGACACGTGAGAGTCGCTCTAAAGACCATAAAAAAAGGAAAAGAATGCGACGTAATTAAAACAAATTATACATCTGTTCAATTTCTTGAAACTAATGTTACTTTCTGTATGTTTAAACTCGTTTCTGTACTAATTGAAATTAGCATATTTGAAACGGAACAGTTTGAAAGAGAATAAAGCTTCAAGACGATTTTAATCTATCGAAAAGTAAATCGATACAATAATTTGATTGATATTTTATTTTGAATGTCGACAAGGCACCGATCGGTCTGACAGACTAAAAGCACACGTTACTTTCATTCACAAATACGTAAAACCGTTATCGGTTCGCGTGTGTTGCATTTAAAGATACGAATTCGCGTTTGCGAACGATTATCTGCTAGGTTTAAGCTTGAAACGTAGTTTCATATCTAAATGCATAAAGTTATCTAATGGAACGACGCAGTAGTAATTATTTCATATATTAAGAATATGAATTATAAAAATTATAATTATATTATAGTTTCTATACACTCTATAGACGCTATAGACTAACAAATTACGAGGACAATGATTAATATATGATAACTTGTAGCTTATAATCTTTTGTTAACAATATTAACTGAATCGTGCAAAACAGCGCAGAAACTCTTGAATAAAAACACGAATAGAAACGTAATACGTTCAAATATAACGTAAGATATAATATAACGTAAGATATAATAAAAGACGCTTCTCAGGTTAGGTTAAAAAATTTCTTAGGCATCTCCTCGAGCATCCTTGAATACAGTGACGATAAAGAACAACTGTATAGAATGGTGGCGCGGTTCGATGGCCGCGGACTATGAATCCGCAGAGAGGCCGTACCGCAAGAAAGAAGTTTCCCGACGAATTGTTGGGAACAAAGAGATGGAACACCGAGTCAATACACGACCCAAGGTCATTGCTACCCGTCGCCGGCGCATCCTCGGAATTTCCGATTTTCTTGTCATCCTTTTTTTCCCCGTGCCATGCCGGTGCAGACGGCGTGCGCCGCGTGAGCCTACCTCGCCAATGAATAAGACACGAAGAATCCAGTGAAAGCCCGTTTCTACCCGCGATAGACGCTTTGTTTTCTTTTTTCTTCACCTGCTGTTGATATATGATGCGTGTTATGTACTTACTACAGACGAAGCGTGCAATAGGGAAACACGTGGAACAGATGTCGTGCGGTGCAAACTGCGTAACCCTAAAGCGTACAGTTCGCTCTCGAAAACTGAGTTGCGCAGCGAACAACTTCTAGTTGCGAAGTTGCGAACAGTCGCACACACGTTTCAGACCGCGTGAGTGAGTCATAACAGTAACTCATGATGTTTACAGACAATGAAACTTATTTTTAAAAATGGTCATGTTTCCGTTCACCTTGTTCCGATACTAAAGACAAAGGATGGAATTTTATGAAATCGAAGGAACGTAGAAAACCATTTGGACGTTTATGTTTCGGTCGTGTTTTGATCGAGCGACAGAAACCTTACGATATTCGGTAGGATGATAAGATAAACGATTGGATTCTTCTGATACTAAAGACAGATATCGACACCAGAATTTCAGGACATCCGTAGACATTAGATAAAACGAAATAACCATTTTTATGCGATACACCGAACGTTTATCGGGAATTGAACGACGCATATGCTTTATGTTTCGAAAGCTGAAACGATGAAACAGAAATTTTACGTCCTACCTTGTATATCCTTTGATTTCTGCTTCGATTTTAAATTCATATGCCGCTTCAAGTATTAGTTACAAACGTGCATATTTATGAACGTGTTTTTACACGCATTCCGTGTAAATGTGTCTTACACGAATCTAATACGCTTAGAAGATCACGAGAGGCAAAAAAAGACTTAAAGCTTGATATACATCGTGGAATTATCGAGAAATGTCGTTTCTTTCGAGCATTCAGGGTCAATAAAGAGGCAATTTGTAGAATGGTAAACAATATTATGTCAAGATAAACGCAATAAAGATCTAAACAGATGATTAGATTAAATACCGATTACGCTTTTGCAAAGGTTAACAGTCAGCGGTAAATGCAATCAATATGAATATTGTATATCTTATCGGCTTTTTCCAATCAGGCGTGAAGTTTTCTTTCGGATGATCTCTACGTTAATATCATATAAGAAACATTCTCCTAACGTGTGGAATGATAACAATTGCAATGAGCTAGATCGTTAATTGCTCGATCGAAAGTTCGTCGAGTGACTTTCGCAGATTTTTCATTCGATATAAATAGAGGAGATAGAATGAAAGAAAACCTTTCAACGACATTATCGCAAAATCTTCCCGCGGGAAATTTTATCGGCGCGAAAGATAATCAGGTTAGAGGAAAATTTCGTTAAGGCTTGCATTCTTCCCATCGATAATTTCACGTTTGCGCGGCCAACTTATCCATTTCTAACTTAACCGGTAACTCTATCGATAATATTAAACTTCTCGGCCGACAGAGCGATCGTGCACGGATTTAAAATAAAGAAGAAGGTGTTTTCGCTAGAAAATTATTCGATCATTTTTATTCAGATGTACACGTGTCTAGAATAGAAATAATCAATCATTTGTCTTATAATATCGAATAATATCGAAAATTACATTCGTAAAGAAATCTAATTTGAACTCTAATTTCAGTTTCTTACGACTAAATAAATATTATGTAGAATATGATGTTGCATCAACGATTAACTAAATAACTGAATGCTCGCTCAAATAACTATGTACTAAAAAAGTCATAGAGCAAGGAGTTAACATCGACCATGAACGTTGAAAACGGCGCGATGTTCATTTATTCTTCCCAATTGAAACCGACAACCGAACTAAACCGAACCGATCGTTTTGCCACTGTTGGCGTAGATGTTCGATTCATATTGACCAGCATCCCAAATGGCACCGAATGAACTACTCTATCAGAATCGTAAATTGAAACGATCGTAAAGATTCATGAAGCGTCGTTAAATAACACTTATGTTAATGATCGTTCTCGCACACACATACGCGTACGACGACGCACAAAATTGTTTCAATCTAGTAGAAATGTGACAACCGTCGTAATAAAAGCACATGGACACATGGCTGACGGCCAACGATACAAAAATTCTTGCCGATTCTAATTTGGTCCCGATGTCGAGGTACAATCCTCCACGTTCCACGTATTATTGTTCTCGGCTCCATTGAATAAGGAGTTGCGGCCATCTTCGACTAAACTTCATTCAACGGAGCCAACACATACCACACGCATCATGTGGTAACCCAATACAAACACGTGACAAGCGCGCGATTATTCGGGATGCTGTTACAGCGAAATCACTATCGGGTAGATTAAGCTGAAACTATCGAAGTTCGCGAGGAGTCGCGTAGCACCTGTTTCAAGGACCTCGGCGAACCTTGCGTTCGTGTACCGTAGCCGTCTAACCAGAAATCAATTTTAATCGATTTCATGCTCGGCCAGCCATCTAAACTCTTCGGTGAACCGAATGTACGTATTTGTTTGGAAATTTTGATACTTCTATCGAGTTCTAGATGGCTACACCATAGACTAAGAGCTAGTACACGATATAACATAATAGGCTTCCCCTTAACCTTTCGCTAACTCGATATAACAGGTAAGGTTAGTATAATAAAGTTGATATAAGCAGCTTAAAAAGTGCTAGTAAATACGCTCTAATTTCCACTAGAGGTCGAACGTACGAGTTCCATACGAATTGACTACAATTCCTCATTTTTTTTTTTACTGTTCGAACATTTTCACGCCGACTAATTCGCAGTAGAATTATCGTATCGATACCAAATATGTATAAAACAATCGTTACGTTATAACGTGGACAACGGCAATCCATGCAAATATGTTGCACACGTATCACGATGCCATTTAGTGAGCCATTAATCGCATGGGTTGAAAATTATCAGGCTCTTATATTTGATACGGCGTAAAACCAAGAAACGAGCATTCTTCCGACAAAGACTATCGACTGCATCGATAAAGAATTTCCGTGACATAATCGAGAATCTACACGCGACCGATAATTCACATGAGGAAGAAAGTGTTCCATGAACGAATCACGTACATGTCTAGGTACGTATGTATATTCTTTGCATATTTTATGTATATTTCATGTATTCTTTTTGTATTCATAGAATGTTGTCCATCGTTTAAGTGGCGCCATTTATAAGTTGTCGTTTAAAATGACGAGTGGCTACAGAAGCGTCGAAAACATATTTCAAGCGCATAATAGAATATTCTCTAAGAATACAGATGATCGTATATTTCGATAAAAATATTAGTTATTCTTGATTCACAAGGTAAGTCTTCACATTCTACATGATAACTATAGTGTCGGTCAATTACATATGTACGTGTGTGTAGTCGTACAATTTCATTTCGTAATAATTTCATTTCGTTCCTGTCGGATTTCATTTCGAGTTCGCAACTTTATTGACGTATATACATATATATATATACACACACACACATGCACACACACACAACTGAGGATACGATCGTGATCGACTACAGCGATAAACGACATATCGATAATCTCCATGATGTAAAAAAAGGATGAAAGACGCGCTACGTTGCAGTTCGATATGTCACGCGCGATAATCGATAACTCTCTTCAACGACTAACCCTATACGGAAAAGGGTTAAATAGATGATCGTGAACAGTGGCGTTCGCGAGAAGGCAATCACGTGTTTGACCCACGATCGACGGAACACGCATCGCGGGTCATGCAATACAGTCACGACTCCGCGCGTCATCGCGTGTATTGACAAAATGTTTTCTATTGCATATCACATGCAAGGCGGTACACGGTGATACGGCCTTAACTTGGATTACATGCAGAGACGACGTAGATCAACGTCTTTCGTGATAACAGACCCACAGAAAAAAAAATAAAAAGGAAAACAGCGAAGGATCGCAGTTTTTACAAACATTTGCCAAGTAGCTCACACACGATAATGTTTACGTTTTGCACAATCTGTTTACTCTAGAATACAACGTAGCAAAGTCTCCTGATCTTTACAAAACTGACCTTTTCCTGAAAAACAAGTTTTTTAACTGCATTGATAAAAAAAAGTAGAAGTTCGAGGTGCTACTTCCTGTCTGAAAAAAGATATTTATTATCGATGAATTTACTCAGCAGAAGATAAACAACACAAATGTACACGTAGAATTGAGCAAACGTTCGTAACGCGATAATGCCGTACGTTTAGAAAAATCAACATGCTCGAACATTGACTAGGGTTCAAATCTTCGCTTGATAAAAGGTCGGAAAATTTCAACGAGAAGGTTCGGTGTCAATGGATGTACACTTAATTCAGAATAAGGACACGGAGAAAAGAAACGTAACAGCAAAATCGAATATTTACGACGTTTACGTTCTGAGTCGATTCAGGTATGTGCATTAAATGTGCATGTATAGTCTCCGCATTCGAATTTCACAGTTCGTATCTCGCTATAAAAACTGAAGATAGACGACACGTAACGTACGTGAGCGTAAAAAGATCACCGTTTGGATACGAATAAATACTATGCGCGACTAGCAATATATTGTATAGAAACGAACGTGAAAAAATAAAAAGCAAATGAGAAGTAAAAACAAGGAGATTGGGTATTATACTTTTTCTACAAAGATACGCAATGTTACAAGCGCGAGGTACGTGGGTCCCAAAAAGCTGTTGATCTCCGGCTAAGTGTAAATAGCGAATGTACGCACTTGGAATACCAAGTGCACCATAAACAAAAACATTAGTGATAAGGAAACGAGTGACGTTGCGTCGTTTCCCTCTTTATCTCGTCAACATGGATTTAACACGTTTTACGCGACGATCAAAATATCTCTCGCTGATAATACGATGTAAACATTGAGCCCTGACAGAATTTCGTATGCTACGATTTAACAAGAAACGTATATGTAAATATTAAGTAGGAAGAATACCATTTTATCGTTATTTTTCCTAAGTATTTCAATTTTATTCCAACACGACGCCTTTATGCAGATAGTTCGTAAGAAACATCGTCGACTTACGTTCCCTTTAGTCGTCGTGCAACGACGATATCTCTTCTCCCTTGTCTTCCATCGAATGCACAGGAAGATATGGCTTTAATAAATCACGCAGACCTCTCGAATAGAGATAAGAATCCGACAGTGCATTGTAAGCAATAAACATTTCCATAAAAAAGAAAATTTGATTTCATCAATTTCTCAATACTTTGATCATTTCCATTAGCCCAATTCACAAAACATCTTTAAACTTCATATCGGAAACCTGAGAAAGAAACACATTCTATTAAATTCTATTTCGATGCTAAGCTAAAATAATCGACGGTAGACACGTTGCGGTCCGATATAAAGTGAGAAAGGTAATGCAATCCAGATATCATTCGGCCAGTTATTTCTACGGAAAGTGACCGCGGATTTGTTTCTTTGTTCCTGAACACGTTACTTACCGAGAGAACGCTATCGATCCATGTTATGGTAAACGTAAGATCGCGACTAGGAACCAAAATATTCGAAGATATTTCGTGCACGCAGCAACCGAAAAATTTCAAGCAGACATCCGCAACGGGAGGAACAAGCTCACACGCGATCGTCTAGTGCGTATATTCATACATCCGTGTATTTCCCCCACGAGTAAGGAAAAGAAAGAGAGAGAGAGAGAACAATGACTCTAAAGACGTCGCGTTGCGCGCGTTTTCTTCGCAACAAGTTTTACATTACACGCCGCGGCGTGGCGGGACTGAACGACGAGCAACGGCGTGTTCTCGCTTAGCATACAGATAACTCTTTCGTTGAGCAAGGTGCACGATCGTTTTATAAATAATTCGCGCGGACGTCTAAAAGCGCCAAGATTGTTGAACCACGAGCAAGATTGCATGCAAGAGCAACGAGTAATTATATACAATATAACGGTGCCATGCACACCACGCGAAGGAAGAAACGGACGGCGATAAGAGTGAATGCGTTGCTGCGAATATTTTTTTTCCAATCGCGTTGAAGCTACTGGCGAGATCTTTTACGTTTGAAATAAAAGATTTTGTTAAAAAAATTTCGCTCTTATCGTTACGTTAAGATTTATGAAAATTGAATGGCTAATTGGCCATAAATCAGGACTAAATGTGACCGGTTAGCAAGGTAGGCTCAATACCAGGAATACACGTAATCCTAAGCCAGACAACCATAAAAGTAAATCCTTAATATCCTAAATGCCGGAGTTTTGTTCTATGAAAACAAAAAATGGTGGGGAGAACAAACACGTGAACGTAAATATATAAACCTAACTAAGTACGGCTACTGATTCATGGTAAATAATACAAAAGGAAAACTCACGAATTGCGTAGCGTATATGTGGCGGTGCGTTGGACAAGCGTATGCACGAGTACGAATGAATCATACTTCCGAGCAAATCGTTGAACGACGATTCAATAACCCAGCTGGCTTTTTTGCCGTGCAGATTTACATTTCATCGCGACGACTCGTTGAACATAATTAGTGATCCGCGCGTACTGACAACGTTCGACGAACCGAGATAACCATGATAATAGGAAATCTAAACCTCAAATTCCAGCATTTCGACTAGCTTTCTAAAACGTATTACGAAAGACAAGTACTACATTATCAAATCGATGAGCACAAAGCGAATAGCCTCTTTTCTATTAGAGCTCGTTGTTGGTGGTCAGCGTTTTCTTTCATTCTTGTTCCCCCTAAACTCCTCCTTCCTTGTATCTACATATATATCTGTATGTATTCCAGACTCGAGTAAACATATACATATCCGTGGTTATATTTACGTATAGTATGTACGGCTTCGACTATTGGCTCGTCAACTATGAGTAAAATCAAACAAAAACGGCGATGCACTACGTGAGAGCGACGAAAACACTGCGTCTTTCTTTCCTTCTTATTTACCTCGTAAATACATTAGGAGAGAAATAAAAAGAATAAGCAAGGGGAGATATGCGGGTATCATTTTATCGATACTTGGAATAGCCGCGAACTTAAATTTCGTGTAAAGATGACATGTTCCAGGTACATGTCACAATCAAGCGTAACCCATTGTTTCCGATATCTATCGTAGCGAACGTTCGATTTGAAACGTTTCAATTATATGCGTGAAACAGTGAATGGACTTCGTATTTATCCGTGTCCCTATTATTCCAAGCAATGGCCACCGGACAAGCAGACCAATGGCGCGTGGCAAGGACTTCAAATACAATCCGGAATATATGTTCCAGATAAAGAATATAATCCAATCTGTAACGAAGCATCGCGTTGGAATCAGTAGAAAAAAGCCAGTATCGTGATCTAATCCGTTCGTCTGATCGCTTTGAAAAAAAGAAATAATGTTTTTTTAAATACACATTAGAATTGCTATATCCTAAGTCTTCAGTTTGACTTTTTTTTTTTAATTACGTAAACTCGCAATCTTCTGTTGTACAATCGTTACAATGCAAAAAAAAAATGAGAGAACGATTTGAAAAAAAAAAAAGCGAAGTCAAGTTGCGTAGGTCACGCACGTACAACGAACCAGCGCAGCGGTAGAGTGATAAATGATAGCGAGGTTTTTGATCGCAAGCCCGCCGAGCCCCACTACCATGAGAGCCGAGTTTAATCAAGTGCGTGTGAAGAAAATAATATGTGCGTTAGTTTATAGTTCGGTAATAAAGAACGTTTCTAACGGAAGTTTACTTGTGTCGTATAACTGTACGAATTATGAATGGGAATCTTCGTGTAGTTTGTCACGTTTTACCAGCTATTATGACTAACTAGAAATAAGTTCCTGGAATTAAAGGTCGTTCGTAACTTTACCCGATGTTGCAAGATTTTCTTTCACGTACGAGAACGATTATAATTAAGTACAATCACCGCCAAACATTTGGCAATATAGTAATTTTAGCACGCATATTTAGCAGAAAAGCAGCATATTTAGCATATTTAGCAGAATACGCGTAAAAATAGCGTATAAAAAGAAAACCGAAACTGGACGTTATTTATAGATCCTTATAAAACTGTCACAATTGTTTTCGGTTATACTTTTTCGGTATATTTGATAAATATAGATCAGAAAAGAATGTTACATAAATAACTGTCGTTCGACAATTTATTGTTAATTATTAAAAAGTTATAAGAAAGATAGGAAGATAGCGATAAAAAACTTCAGGTAACTATTACACGTAACAATAAGAATAATAAAGTTTATTTGTCAACTCTATTTCGTTTCAATGAATTTTTCGTATCAACTTACTTAATATAATTTTTCTTACGAAATTCTCTATGCAAGTCTAATAATATGAGACCTAATTACAACTTTACAGACTAAAATACTGTTCCTCTCATACATCATATTCTTAATACAACTATAAAAGACCACTGTTTATACAGTATTTTATTTTTCTTATTTATATTCGTAAAACTTACTCAAAAAGTTTGGCCGGCAAAACTTATAATACCCATCCAGTATAGGCGAGGGTTTACGCTTGCGTACATGTATAACGTAAACGCGTCGAATATAACCCCTCACCTTATCCCAACCGCTAGCGACTCACCAGGGATAAGTTTAAAGATTGTAAGAGGCATTGCCCTGACTGGCGTGGTCGCCAGCGAGCAGAGCCTCTGCTGGGAAATGACAGAAGAAGAAAAAAAGCAAGAGAAAAACAAGACCCCCTCGGAGCGTTCTGGAACATGCGTTGGCCAGCCTGCTAGATGGTTCTATCGCGCGCAGCCCAGCTGACAGCCCAATCAGCTGTAAACGTACACAAAAGCGTCGTCCAACAGGTCTACGGAGGACGCGTTCATGGAAACAGAAAATTCGATGCGTTTGCTTGCTTGAAATATTCAACGACTATAACAGAATTAAAAAAGACTTAAAAAATTGGCTATATCGAAGCGTAACGCGTTACGGACAGATAATAACAACAAGCCACTAATTAGTCATAATTATACTGGAAATCCCACTTTTAGAAAATTTAAATAACTGTGTATAACGATTAGAGAAACGATCATTACAGGTAGTGCTTTTATTCGGGAGTATGTATTCCGTGGAACTTCTTTTATACATAATACACGAATACCTAAAATATCGGTATCGTGTTACTCAACGCGTATATTTTGCTTTGTTCGGTGGACGTCCAAGTTTAAGACTAGAACTACGGGACTAGTATCAAGGAAATCAAGATGAAGAATTTATAAAAAAAATATAATATAAAACTACAAATTATAGATGCATCGTAGTACATTATAAAATTTCTATAAAGAATTGCGAATTTCGAGCAGTCTGGTAGTCCTTGTATTAATATCACGGAAACACTTCCTCGTAAAAAAGCAAAATTGGTACAATAGTGTAAATATCTTAACATCAAACACAAGATAATAAATAATATGAACCTAAAAGAACTTTTGTTATTGAGGCAGAAAAAGCTCATACACAAAATTAATTACATAAAATTAACTAACAACTTTCTAGGGAATTACTTCTAGGAAATTTTTGGGTAAATGCTTCTTTATAAATAAGAACAGAATTAAAGTGTATCGTAAAAGTATATTATCATTCATTCATGAAAGAAAACAAAAGATTTGTATTTGTTAAATGGTGTAAGAATATTTTTGCAGAGTACTGTACACATGGTAGGTGTATATTGGTATGGCCAATAGCATGGTTACGAAGGAACGAGCGAAGAACTTTCGTTGCGCGAATCAAAGTGACTGTATAGCAGCTTGGTTTGGTCGCTGTTGCCTGGCTAGACAGGAATCAAGCGAGGCTACACCACTGCAGCTTAAATAAACACCGGGAGAGGAACAAGCGCGGCGCACAGCAGCAGCTTCGAGTTTAGTTAATTCGGGTCATCGTCCTTCGTAACTCGTCGCGCATATTTAATTTTCCATGTAAAGCGTCCTGTGGACGAACGCATCACGCGGATGTCGCTTTCAAAGCGAATTGCACCTTAATATGCACTTTGTGTATATGGACACCGTCCACACACCAAACGGTTCTCGGGCTATTAAATTCGAAAGGCGCTCGATCGACTCGAGAAACCCGTAGTCAAATTGTACTCAATCGGTACAAGTACAAGGAAAGTAGATATATATACTATTCCCTTTTAGAGAATTTCTGTTGACAGTATGATTTTTATAGTAAGAGACAACTTGTATCATCCATTTACTAAAAGACACAACTAGGAAAAGTCCATTTTTCAAGAGATCGTTTTAAACTTAAAAATTATTAATAATTCCATTATTTAGTAATAAAAAAGAATTTCTTTTCTTTTATCGTTGGGATAAAATAGACTTTGGGTTTTGAGGATATTTAATAAAATACTACTAAATAGGGAATCGATACAATTTTTGCATTGTAACATTCCTTTCGTTAAATAATTCGATATTAATAAGTAAAGTAGTATCGTTTTTATAGAAAATAAAAATAAAATATTAGTTAAATAAAATAAAAGATTAATAAAAAATAAATAAAAGATTAATTTTTGTAGATACTTCAGAATTGACAATTTTTTAGATGTCACTCTTTTAACAAATCGACGATACGTAAATGTTGATGTAAACTTGGCCAAATATTTACGATAGAAAAATCGATCGAAGTTTGGTGGTCTCGGGTAGAAACACACAGAGGGAAGAAGCAAAGCGTTACGTCAATTCCCTCTACCACTTATTGTTAGCCTTTACCACAGGTACTATGCTGGATATTATGTATGTACGGTTTTTTCAGAGCGATCGAAGCCATTCTGTACGTACGCGTTCACATACAGCAGAGAGAAGAAATGTCGCAAAAGGGTACCCGCGTACTAAAAGATAACAGTTTGAACGTTTTTAAGACAAGGCGGTTGAATCAGCTGTGAATGTGTACAAAACAAGACGGCGCGCATTATCTTGGTGAGATTGCCGGTTAAGTATCAAGGAAATTATCACCACTGACGCGGAATATTACGATGTCGTTGACATTGTAAGTGAGAAGCAATTTAAAAAATTTGAATAAAAAAAATCGACGAATAAAAATGTATTCGAAAAAGAAACGAGGTATACATACGAGAGGCTGATGGAAATTTAATGAGATGTTAAATGAGTGTAAACTAAGTGTACAATGATCAATTAACAATGGAATAATAGATTCTTGTCCTACGCACACGTGCGGACGTGACGACAGAGCTATTCGATATGGCAGATTATGCACTGTTACTAAGCGAAGAAAAATTGTAACTAAAGTGTACCATCAAGGTAGAAACGAAATGGAATGAGTCGATTGTAAAATTTCAGATAAACGAAGTAACGGGAAAAATCGTATGGAAACGCCACACAAAATGACGGCCCTGATCTTCTCGTGGAAGGCAGCTGACAGGCCCCCGTCAGCTGAGAGCGTACACAAAGTCCAATGCCGTATGCGCACGTACTTTTAATCTGCGGCCTATTTCCAAGGGAGAGTTCACTGTCGTGCAAAATTCATATACGTTTGCACAACCCAAGATGATACTATTGTAATCACCTGAATGATTGCACATCAAATAAACAAACTTAAAGAAGAAAAAATAGTATTGCGTCGTTCCAAGCACAGGCTGACCGAATGAAAACAGCATGGACGTTTCCTCGAATCGCGTTTCAAACATACTATTATTTGTAAAAAAATATTAACTCGAGGTAATGTACGAAATTGAAAGTTTTCGACGAATAACGATCCTTCGATTCGACGCAGATATCGTAAATAACAATTCCTGTGATAAATGCATCTATTGCACTTTCAATTGTCCAGGATACATTCGCGTACTAAATCATGTTTCACGGGACAGAGGAGATCACATAGAAAAATAGCAGTGGTGTTAAAGGAAGTGTCTGTGATGTTTTCAAAGCAAAGAAAAAACGTGTGCATAGATGAAGAGGGTGCATCGAAACAAGGGTTTACGCACCTCCATATGCATCCGTGGCCGCGGCAACGAGCGACGATGTGTGTCCTCGGCCTCTTCTCCGTCTCGAGCTTTTGATCACGGATCACGGTTTCTTCGTCTTCGCGAAATGCCACAAACAACGACGACGACAACTCGTTTTGATCATCACTAACGCGAAACAGTCGCATCCAGCGAGCACCGTACTGCTGATCGGCTCGGCGTCGTTCGATTTATTTCGGTTCGTCCGCAGGCGGGACGGTATACGATGACCTATGCGCATGCGCTATTTGCGTTCGTCTATCTCCGGACATCACCGCCAGATATCGCTTATGAACAAATGCGTGTTACCTATCTTCTATTTTTTATTACATTACCAAATGAAACGCGGGAGATTTCAGGATGTTCAAATGAGTAAACAAGTGAAGCACCGCAGCATTCGAAGCGTTTGATTCGTGTGTGACTGTAAGTAACTTGAATAAACTTATATATTGCACAAATGAAACGAATGAAAATTTTAATCGCATAGATGTACTACATGCTCGTATTTTCATAGTTTGAAAAAAATATGAATACTGATTGTTTCGTGTAGCCCATATATTTTCATGCGCGTGGGCAAAACGTTTACTTTCACAAGACAATCTGTATCGTATGCGAATAGAAACAGGAATGCAGAAGAAGGAAAGGTACTTTAATCGCGAGCTTGAAAAAAGGCACATTAAAGCTCGTTTTACAATATTTCATCGTTTAACAATTTTTCTCTTTTTTTTCTTCCATTTAAAAATGTGATTCTAATTTAGGTCGTGTTTCACTTTCGTGTAAAATCACGAAAAAACGCATTGCATGTTTGTTATCTGTCTGGAAAAAATATATATGTATGTTAAAACTATGTAGGAAAGCTACCTTTATTACTTCTTTCATTTCTTTGCGCAATTCTATTAGCTATTACATATCTCTGACAAAACTATTACAAAAGTTTACTATGCTGGATGTTTTTTTGTAAGAATATGTGAATGGCTTTCACACATATCTTGGTATTATAAAGTAAAAAAGTCGAAGTCGAGAACATAAGAAAGTACGGAAGTTCAAGAAATGAAAACGCTATCAATCATATAAAAACAAAACAATTTTAACGATTCGAACTTTATTCGAATCCTTCGAATTAATAAAGTTAATAACTGTCCATTTAATGGAATATAAATTTTCATAATGCTCTTGCGCTCTTAATTCTCTAGAATTTGTTAAACAAATTTCGCGAATTGCTATAACGTAAAAAATACGTTTAAAGACACCATTCATCTCTTTTTTTTTCGGGCAGACCTACAATTTTAAATGCTCCATAAATGCGCTATGTCTGCCACCCTCTCCCTCTTTCTTGATACATTCTACATATTTATTTTTTACTGATCATTCACACGATCAACATTTCTCTCGACTTTCACCATACAAGCGCAGCATGAAGGATAACAACAAAGCAGTAGTACATAAAAAACTTATTTTTTACGTTTGTTTATTCAATATGTATTTTCTTATAAAGTGACGTCCTACTAATTAAAAGTAAATGAAAAAAAGTTCACCAAACAATAGTTAATATATTCATTAAAATTCTTCGTCTCATTAAGGCAACTAATTTGTTTAGTATCATTTTACATATCTAGAGTAAATGATATATAAAGTATATGTAAAACACTAATATATGGTTATTTTTATTTTCTTGTTACAAGCCTTACATATTTAGAATATAATATGTATACTTTGTATATATACTCTTGTAATAAAATTGGTTATTTCGTATTCGATTCTAGAGATAATAAATATATCTAACGTGTAATGTTAGTACAAGAGAAGTGCGTGCAGAGGGTGGCAGCAGGGTGCGCATTTGGGAGTGCTATTGTTCCAGGGATCGACCAATCCCCACTTTCTATATCGTCTCACATAGTGACATTTAACTGTATTGCTTTAGTGTCCACAGAGCACGCTTGTTGTTGTTGTTGCTGTTGCTGTTGCTGTACCTGCTGTTGTACCTGTTGTTGAACTTGTTGTTGCACTTGTTGTATTGCTTGAAGCTGTATTGTTTTTGTATCTACAGTGCACGTTGTTTGTTGCTGTTGAGGTTGCTGCTGCTGCTGCTGTTGCACTTGTTGCACTTGCTGTTGCTGCACTTGTTGTTGTTGCACTTGTTGTTGCACTTGTTGCTGCTGTACCTGTTGCTGCTGCTGCTGCTGTTGTTGTTGCTGCTGCTGCTGTTGTTGTTGTTGTGCTTGTTGAGCAGCAGCTTGTGCAGCTTGTCTCTGTTGTTGCCGAAGTATGCTGGGCGGGGGATCCATGTGTTGGCGTTGATGTAATAACAAATGATTCTTCTGATAAAACGCTTTTCCACATTTATCGCACACGTGTGATCTTATATGGCAGCTACCATCCGTATGACGTCTTTGATGTTGAGACAGGCCATGTTTCTGCGCGAATCCACGACCGCAATCGGGACATACGTGTGGTTTTGGTTTCGGGCCTGTCCCTACAGGTGGTGATGTTTGTGTTGCACCATGCATATGGCTGACACCGGGATTTCCGATGGGTCCATTCATCTGTAAACCCTTTGATTGTATACGCATTTCGTATATTATGCTAATGTTGATAATACCTGATGAGTTCCAGAAGTGTTGGGTGTAAGGAAGTGTCCAGGAGTTTGTTGGAAAGCAGCTGCTAACCCACAGAGATCTGTTACAAGAGTACGATCACCAGAATGTAACCTTAAGTGCAGGGTAAGAGCTTCCCGGTTTGAGAAGTCCAATCCACATTCCCTGAAACATTAAATTTAACATATGCAGAAGATTTTAATATAGACAGACATACACATTTAAACTATATGTTATTGAAATTATTACCTGCACATAAGAGATTTTTCGTCTGTGTTCGTATTATTGTTATGTATCTTCGAATGGGTTACCAGGTCTGTTTTTCGAGGAAATGCTTCTCCACAAACAGTACAAGCAAATGGAGTTTCTCCTGTATGTAAGCGCATGTGTGCTAGTAGTGTTCTCTTTTGGAGAAATTCTTTCCCACAAACAGTACACGAATGTGGAACTCTGCCATGCAAACGACCATGATTCACTAACTCAAACTTTCTCTGGAAGGTTGCTCCACAGTCGTGACAAACAAATGGATGTAAACTGCCATGGAAGCGCGAATGCATTGTTAGGTGATCCTTTTGAGAAAATGATTCTCCACATTCTTCGCAAACAAAAGGTCTCTCCCCTGAGTGGAATTTACTATGTGTCACTAAATGACGTTTTAAAGGAAATGATCTTCCACACTCTTGACAAACAAATGGACGATCTCTCGTATGTACTCGTGTGTGCGTTACAAGGTGGTGTTTTAGTGTAAAAGACTTTTTACATTCTCTGCATTGGTATGGTCGGTCCGCACTGTGAAGGAGAAGGTGGGTATGAAGACAGTGTTTGTGTGCAAAACTTTTACCACAATGAACGCAAACATGAGGTCGTTCTCCTGTATGTACCCTTGCATGTGTTGTAAGGTGATGTTTTAGAAGAAATGACTTCCCGCATTCTGAACAAGAATACGGTCTTTCTTTTGGTACTCTGACCTGACTTCCCATATCTTGTTGTTGCTTGACCTTTGTTTCGATTTGTGTAGTGTTCACATGCGTTAAAACATGCCCAAAGTGAGCCGTACTATCTGTCTGGCTCGTTGCCACATTGTTAACATTAGCTTGGTTTGAAGCAGCTGCTGCTCTTTTCATTAAAATTTCATTGCACTCTTCTGCTGTGAGCTGTAGTGGTCCAAGAGGTGTCATGAAATGCTTACTCATAGCGTGTTTATCAGCTGTAGTAAAAACTAAAGTATTTGAAAAAAGAGACGGTGGGGGTGTTGCATGCGCAGCATCACAATTACAACCTCCCTTGTCGCATGTTAATGAAAATACGTCGTGATGTTTCTTAGTACGAACATGTGTGCCGTGTGTTTGATTATGAGCTCCAGCTGTATGATGCGTCGTCGGAGTCTGTTGACAAGTTTCATTCATAGTGAACATGGGTCTACGATGTGTACTATTGGCAACTTTAGTTGGTTTAATGTCGATCTGTATCTTTTGGCTGGATCCTTGGTCCTGATTATTATTCACAGCATAACTAATATTTGTAGTAAGTTCACCCTGTGCATTTTCTCGGGTTTCTGCTCCAGGTCCACCAAAGGACCAAGCATACCCAAATCCTGTGCCTACGTTGCCAGGAGTGGTGCACATGTTTGACAGAGGAGTAACGGAGGGGGTGGGCTGGCTGGACGCACTGCTCGTGGGCCCCTCCGTCTCTGTCAACGTATTGTCGGCACCATTTCTTTCCACTACAACAAACTGGTCGGCGGGAAATATTTTGAAAGGTTCTAAATAAACGTACCCGTCACACTCCAGTATCTCAGCTGTGGGTTTCAAAATTGAGAATCATATCTGCCTGAAGCGGCTCTAAGTTACTATATTTGATCCTTTGATATTAATAGACAGCTTATGAATAATCAAGATTCATAAAATAAAATATGGAAGGTGATTAACACCATGTGTATGTCATCTGTCACATAAAGTATAACAAATGCTTGGTGTGTTCCCAAGTGTTGCTTTGTCAGACTTAGGAACACACAGTGTTTAGGTGAGGCGAGAGTGCCTGAAGAATTGGAGCAGGCGGCAGAGGGGGCCTGTGCGCTGTAAACCAGGTTCCGTAAATCTAGAGCCGTTCTCGTATTGTTGTCACCGCGCCACCGCGCGCCAATGAAAAAGATATTGTGGTCGGTTGATTTTTCAATATATTTGAGTTCGTAAGTTATTCTTCGTTTCGGTGTTCGGGCCCGCGGCGTCCACGGGTCTTGAAAGACAACCTCCACCTTCCTCTCACGGCACTCCCACACGCTCACTTACACTTCACCTTCTTTTCTCGTATTTCGCGGCACTGAACCTATACTTTGACATACATACACGAGCGGCCGATGGTCATTAATTTTACAGAATTGCATATTTTATTGTCCATACAAAATAGCCTCATATATCGGCCATTTTATTTGTAAACTACCAAAAAACAATGCTGCCAATGCACGCGCGGTTTTGGAGGGAGCAAACCTGGCATAGCGTCATCGAGTACTTCCGTACTGGCAACACTGTACCGCCGACGCGATTTCTTCCACCATATTTAAATGTTCACAGGTTACAAGTTATTACTCTTCTTTCCAACAATCTTTTTATTACTCGTTCGTCTCTTGACAAAATGTTATATTGAAATTTTTTCATATGACGATGTTTCATTATGAAATTTCTATGTGCAATTACTATAGCTACAAGTGGAAAGTGAAAGGTCTATTTTAACATAGCGATAACCCATAATTATAGGTTTCGTAGTAATCAATTATCTACTTCAGGATGTAAAGGGGAAAACAAGTATGAGGTGATTACATCGAGTGTCAACAACGCTAATTACACTATAACTACTTTCCACGTGTGAAAATAATTATCATATAATAGATATAACCATTATTCACTTTTTTAAATTCATTTTTCCGTATACAGATAATGTTATTAAATATCAAACTTCGGGTCTCACATACAAAGTTAAGTATATATAACTAAAAATTGTTACTCCGATAAAAATCATTATAAATTGCATTTATAATGTACTTCATTCGTAATGTTTTATGTACCATTGTTTTAGTATATTGTATCGTAAGAGATTTCCTGAAGCGTTTTCTAAACAATCAGCTTACAAACAAAAGGAAGGATGATTTTTGTGCGGTAATTTTTCGCTATGCACGCAAATAGTTCCATAATCGATGTGAGGTCAATATCACGGACGTAGGTTCTTGTGAACGTGATCGCTTTCGTCATTTATAGCTTATAGCTGATATCTGGCGAGTTATGAAACGTGGGGGCATCTAGGTGGCACGGGGACAGAAACAGCGTCGCCCGCCGCTCGGTTGGTCATCGTCGACGCAATAACGCGGACTCAGCAACTGATAAGCAATCCCGCACGTTAATGGCTCGCGCTCACGACTTGGCAAAAAGCCAGTGCGTGTTGGCGGAATGAGAATCTTACAGCCACGTCCATTCATTTTCTTCTTCTATCTCTTTCTCTCTGTGTTAGACGTAACACGTTGGATTAAGTGCTATCTTTACAAACTTTTACTCATCTTCACACTCAGGCGCCAAGCACATCTTCAACGTTTATTCACTTCTATGCTCGTTTATCTCTAATTAGTGTCGATTACGGTGCTTTATTTTTTTGCAATCACTTCTTAATATTGTCCCTAAAACATCATGGATATTTTTGTAAATTGGTAAATATATAGACAAACAATTTCACTTAATTGATGTACGTGAAATATTTCTTTCGTTAATTAATAATTAGAGAGATGAATATTTTAAAGATTAATTTTTTTATAACATTTCAGTGACATTTTTGTTCCAAAGACATTCTTTGAGTAGATAGTTAAGATAGTTCATCCTCGTTAATTTATATAGGATAATATATTACTGTAACACAAATGAAATGGTAAGTATGAATTTTAAATACTCCTGAGAAAGAAAATATTTTTTACGATATATACGATATCTATTTAAGATATTTTCACGGAACAGTCAACGTTAGCCATCTTCATGTTTCAGAAGCTATGCCTGTTGCAGTTACAGTAGTTTTGTCTGCCAGAAAGTAGTGAGAATTTTTACGGACGATTTGCACGGATTATACCAGCCTGACAAGATGATTAAAAAGACTTGCGCGTTCGCTTTAGCATAGCGTGACCCCTTTTTGGCACAGTAAATCCCGCAGCTTCTTATTCCACCCTTTCAGAAAAAAGTTTGCCCACCCCTTGGTTAACTGGTAAACGCCTCGAGCTGTCTGCACGCGCACCTGCTATGTATATCGCCCAGCCGTTTCTTACCACGCGACCACGACTTATGTCCTCTACTGATAGATAACTTTACAGAGTAAAGAGAGAATATTGTTGCATTTCGATGGAACAATATTGGACAAACTATCAAAAAAGAAAAATTCTTGATTTTCTTTGTAAGTATATACGTTTTATAAATATCGAGAGAGGGAAATTGCATCACTTTATCCTGTTTGTTCTCTATTAAAATCACCTACTCTTTTTGTGCACGGTCCGTGTCAGCTGATTACCATGCAGTCTCACACGTGACTTGATCTTGGAATAAGACGGATGCGTGAGGTGATTGCGTTATGTTCATGGATTCACGATCCGTTCGCAACATAGATTTCTCGTCGAACAGACGCAAGATGGTTCAGGATTTACGATTATTCGATGGTACTCTCGGATAGAATTTTCTATAAACTCTCTTTAAGTATACGAAAGTCAATATATTCTTATGAAGAGCAATCACGTTCGCTGATACTCTGTTACTTGTATTGCAATACGTAATGTAATAATTAAGTCAACGTTTCTAGATTAACTTAGTTTAAACTACATTGTCAAAGACGAACTTCTCAAATTTCTTCGCGGCACAATCGATTCCAACAGTAGTAATCGAAAAACTATTCTCCAGGTAGAAAATAAATTTTTTCCATAAATTTTCTCGGATACAGAACAGTTGGATGAACAATTTTCGTGGTAGAAGCCGTGAAGACGTTTCGATGCTGCAATTTGTAAGACAAATGCGTTGTTCACCTAACCATCTGTTAAGTATGTTTCGTCGTGAGATATGTTCAGATCCGACGATCGAGGGTTACAGATCGCCAACGATGGGTAGCCTTTACCGTATCATCTCTCTCTCTCTCCTTTCTCTCTCCCTTCTCTCCACCTCTCTCTTTTCTTTTTTCACGAGGAAACACGAGCGTAGAGACAGGGTGGAGACCCGAATCCTGAAGCAGTGGACCGTGAATGCGATACCAGGTTTGCCATGCTTCGGTGTGGGGGTGGTACCGTCAAACAACCGTTCGTCGACCATCCCTTCGTAGTGCAAATCCCATCCTCTGCAGGTCAGTTGCGATCTCTATATATATATCAATTATACTACGATATACATTGTAGCTTTTTCAATAACAGTTTCAATTTTCCTTAGAATAATAACAATCGGTGATCATTATCGTTAGATAAAAGTCATCAGAGGAAATGGGAAATACGATACCATATTATTTTATTTTTATTCTTATTCGAATAAATAAAATAAAATTTATTTTATCGTTATTTCGATGGGTCTTACCAGTAAAATAGATGTAAAAGTAGCAGGTTCACAGGGGTACTCGATAGACTAGACTAAATCTAAAGGAGTTATATACCTTAGTCCGTTCGAAATCAATTTGTCACTCAAGGTCACTTCCCGGACTGTGAACGACGTCAAAGTGAACGGACATCGCGAATATGCACGAGACAGTGCTTTGCGCTTTCCGCCTTCGAAACAAAGGAACAAACGTGCAGCAAGAAGATAAGAGATAGAGTGAGGAAATAAACAAACGATATGGTGAGATTTACTTTTCAACGTCTTAATTAATTCCGTTGTAAGAAGATAGCAAAAGTTTCTTAACTGATGTTTTTTTAGAATGTACATACTTTGAAATGCAAGACTACTAATCACAGTTGCGATAATAAAGAAGTTATGCAAGTTCTAATAGTTATTCATAACATAACTTTATACGATTACGTCTCATGATCTGTAAGCAACGAGCGTGACATATAAACATAAACACATGGTTGCTTTGAAGACACATGCTACTTCTTTCATTGTTTAGAAAAACTGAGGCGTTAGCGATTACAAAAGAAATGTAGATTAGAAGAATAGTTCCGACATTATCACCACATGAAATGCACCTGACACAGGAGTTAACCGTGAGATTAGAGTGCGTCAAGTTGTATGTCAGCCCCCATTCGAAGACACAAAGCTGCCTGTTAAACCGGTAGAGCAAGGTAATTAGAGTTTTGTGGTTGCAGACTATGTATCAGCGGCGTCTTTTTTTCTTGGCTTAATTAAAAGATGATTACCTAACGAGGGTCATCGATACTCTCAGTCGCTAACGAGCTCCTCTGTCGCTGAGAACATCTATATAGTCGAGCTATAATTTCGAGATTTCTATCTGACCATGGAACGCCATTTGGGGCCATGGGTTTGCCTAAAAATGAATGTATCGGTATGCGTGTCTATGAAGCTTACGCTATGGGGCAATTAGTTATCCTGCATTCTTGCCCTAATTCGTCTAGCTTTTAGGATCAGTCAAAAGTAATTTTCGACTGTATCTTTTCACTGTTTCTCTCCCTTTTTCTTTCACTTTTTGCAATGACAAGTGAAACTAAGTTTGAAACGAGTGCATGGTAGGACGAGATCTAAAACGAGGTATTAAAAAAAATGATGTCCAACGAAAGGGCGAAATGTCTCCGCGTCCATATATCGCGATCAATCGTTTCCACGCGATAGATCACCAGTCACGTGCCGCTGCGTGCCGGTTCATCGATCACGATTAGTCGTACGACCTGCCAGAAGTTCATCGATTTTCGAGCCACCCTGAAATCAACTCGTGTGACAACAATTCATGCGTTCAGTGGTCGAAAACGATGCACCCTGTCCAATACGCGTTTTGCACGAGGCGATAGGAAACAAACACGATAGGATATATGGTTGATTCGATAAAAACACGACTTCTTACATATTAGATATTATATTATTCCAGATAAGACAAAGATTGATCGAACTAAATTACTATTATCGTCTTATAGGAATCAAACATTCGACGAGAGGAACGTGAAACGTTTATTGGACTCTGCAAACCGATACAACCTTTTGATCTCCAATCCGTGTCTTGGATCGTAGATGCATCGCATATTTGAATTCCCAAAAGACCGGTGCAACGACATTCTCTGCGATACTGAACCGAATATATGTATTTACAGGACTGAACTCTTGAGCAGAACTCTTTGTTCTCCTTCATATAAAATTCTGAGCGGTCTCCGGGGTACTTTGCCGATCAGTTCACTGCTCACTTTCGAATGTATTCGCTAGGGAATTTCGGGTTATGTTTTCCATTCTCGGGAGCGGAAGCGTCGGCCTCCTTTGATCTGACGAACGGCAGCGTTAGCTTTTAAGCTTGTAAAAGTGACGAGCAGATGGTTATGATAACAATAATTTGATCGTCGATATAGTCAGCCTTTTTGCACGCACGTGTCAATGTAGTATTTTTATTTATATAGGGTATATTAAAGTTTCATGGTTCAGAAATTGTGTATTCGGCATGGCATAAAAGACTTTAAACGAGGACCGATCGAAGAATTTGAACATTTTCTTTGTAAGCATATTTTCTAGAATTATTTTGGTACGATTTGAAAGCACGTGGTTTGTAGTGTCAAGTCAAACAGTTAACCGGTTGCGTATTTGTCGGGAAAGTACGAATTCTCAAAGCGGAGAACCGGCTCCCTTCGAATCGATCGAGAATTAATCCGACTGCTATCACGTCTCGCAAACGTCACTCCATTGTCTCATTGTCCATTGGAGTGAGAGATAGCGATGGAGCAGTAGAGAGCGAGAGATGACTTTCCTTCGTTCCTATCTTGCCTCCTTTTGAGATCCCGTCTCGATCCTATTGGAGGCCAAGGGGATTCTCTGTTCTTCTATGGGCAACTAATGCCATCGAACGAGAATTGAGGCTACGACCTGTATCCACGACTGGTTTCTCCGATTGCTTTTTATCGCTTTTTCCATATTTATTCATCGACTGTACCAATTAAGTTCCCGATCTTTCATTATATAAGTTAATGCTCCATCGAAAAAAAAAACGAACAACAAATAAATCGAGACTCAATTTTATAATTTAATTTATAGTTTCACCGTTTATTTATTAATAATATACAGGGTGATTCAAAGACAGTTTTCTCCTGAACCCCTTCTTTAAATTCAGTATCGTTCTTACGTTAACTCGACTTAAAAAATCCAAAGTGGCATTAAACTAATTTTCATATACATACTCTTTCTTAGTCGATGCTTTTAAACGATCTACACTCTATGTAAAACTTAAATACGAGCAGAGTATTTTTCACATGCTTCTTAGTCGTGTCTCCGTAGATGGGTCCCGATTATCAGATTATCAGATGGGTTCTCGATTCAACCGGTTTAGCTCTCGTTCCTCGGTCAACTCGGCCCGTTCTGTCGGCCGTTATCAGCGAAACATTAAGCGGACAAAGAACAGAGGGCCGCTACAGACTATAGATCAGATCGTCCTCGGTGATCAGGGTTCATACATGGAGATTCCTCGAGTGTATCCGCTGAAAAAGGGCGTCATGCATGGCTCGCACCAGGGTGTCATCTGCACCCTCTGCAGCTCGACCAACTCTGTCGACGATCTTCACGGTCAATATAACGGATGTCGTAAAATCAATTAGTGGCGAATTGTGCCGCAGCCCGGATCGTGTGCACCATATACGCGGCTCGTAAAGTTCCTCTTTTCTCTATGATCTTCTCGGGGAACTGCGTGTTCCCCGATCACCGGTTCCACTCCGTGATCACTTCTCACCGGAGGGTGGTGCAGGAATATCCACTTGCCACGTATCTTTGCTTTTCTCATTTTTAACCACCGATGTTCTATTATAATTTCGTATATTCTTCGCGAGTCGTTTAGGAATTGTAGCTACTTTCCTATGATTTTCTTACGGTCTACTTTGAAGTTAGCCGAGCTCTTTGATTAAAGAGAAGACACTCTCCTTGCTTTAAGCCGAACCAATTATTTTGAAAATATCAAAATACAAATCTAAATGTATTAAAATTCTTTCTGTATCGAAGCAATCTTCCAATCGTTTCAAATCCTTCGCGTCTATAGAAAAATGCGAAACAGAACAGAAACAAAGAGAGGCATGTTTTTATAATAAACAATAGATATCGTTGGTTGGGCCAAACATTGCGTTCCGGCATGACTCGAAGCTATACAGCAATTAGTAGCGTCATATTGATCCGCTTAAAATTTTTCGTATGTCGATTTCACGCCGCTCCGACAATAGCTTGGCTAATACCAGCCTTTGAATGGGCCGATTGGTCTTACAAAGACCCGTGGCTTTCCTTTCTGCCGCGTTTCAATGTGCAGTAAATATTATCAGGTAGATACCGCTACGGCTGTTTTTTGGTGAATTGATGAGATTGCCAGTTCATTTCTTCTGCCTTTCGTTCGCTTTCTTTCCTATTCCCATTCCTTTCCCGTCGTTCTTCCACGAAACCACCCCCGCATGAAGAAGCTTCGACGACATTCGGACAAATCTTTGGGACTCGACGCCGTAACCAATTCGAAAGAATTTCCCGTGACGACCGCTTCATTGTGTGTGTTTACAAGCTAGACGATTTTCACGTTGTCAAAAGGTTGAAATATTTTTAAGAAATACAATGGAAATTTGTATTATTAGGTAGAGGCAAACGCATCGACGGAATAAATGGTTTAAATGTCGGCAAAATATACGTAGAATATCGGCGAATATAACGTCTGCTAATTTTTTCACGATTTTTTCCTTCTTCCAATGGCAACGACACGAATCTCAGTAAACTGTACAAGTTTTTATCGCCCGAGAGGCGTATATCTATGAAAAAGAGAAATAGTCCGCGTAAAACTTTAACACCCTTTGTGCGAACGTCACCCGTTACAACGCAGCGTTGCTTTCGCTAAGAGCCGGTAAAAGTCGAAATGAAGGAAGTTCTCCTCTGAATTCTATTTCCTTCGTCAAGCGGTTTGCAGCCTTGCCTATCTGTTCTCTCTTCGTCTGCCCGACCCTTTTGCCCCTTCTCCTCGTCACAGTTACCTCTCGTTACTTAGAAAATATAACCATCCCCAGCAATAAATCAAGCTATTTTCACTTATAATTACCAGCATAATAATTTTGGGTAACCGCAGATTATTCTGTGTAAATTGTGTCTGTTCTATTCATCTTACTATGGGTATACATACCATAGGTATAGCGATGCTAATGAATAGATAATTAAATAGTATTTGACTTAGCGTTTATGATATTTTGAAACAAATTTTTCACACAAATTTCAGGTATAGAACCGCTAGTGACCGACCAGTCACGTTAGACCGAACGAAAAGTAGAATTCGTTGTAATTCCTTACTGTCCACTAAGAAGTTCAAGGTTCGTCGACGTCAGTAACTATGTTTTATATTTTTCTATCTTTCCGTTTTACAATGTGTATATTTTGCTTTTTATACTTTCTATAGGTCGGCTTCATCCTGATGCTGCAGCACTCTCTGACGATTAACCCATAGCCCGAGAGTAGGAGGAACAAAATTCGTCGAAGCCGCACGTCGGTCACAAAATTCATCCTCCAGCGGCAAAGTTCGAGGAGTGAAAGAAAAGGTGGCTCTCCTTGCGGATACAACTTACAAGCTACAATTCTGTGGCTACGAAGCGGCTACACCCTTTTACGAACGCGCGGCTCAACCACTCATGCACCGACCAGTTTCGCCCCGAGTGGCAAGTGTGGCGGGAATTATGCAATTATTGCATTGCGCTCGCAATTGTCGCGGAAAACGGCGACTGCCTGAATGGCCTGAGTGTCTAAGGGGTAACGGGGCAAGAAAGGGGGATTTCCTCGTCGTTTTACTACCGACGTTTCCCCGTACGTTTCGTTCTCTGTTTTAATTCATTCTCGTTGGCCGCGATCACGACCACGAATCGGAGATAAATACGATTTTAATCTGCTTTCGAGCGTATGAAGTATTGAAAGATCCGCTCGAATAACAAAATAGGTGTTCGCAGGGAATATATTATAACATAATATTTTTAAAGTAGAATCGTAAAATTGGTACATACATGGGAGTTTCGGCAAACTATTGTAAATCGAAATTTCGCTAGATTCCTGTATGCGTCGGTTTCTCACGATTTCCAAGGGAAAACCAACTGCTCGGATGCGACATTAGTCAATCAAGTTGATGTATCGCGTGATGGTCTTGAATCTAAAATGCAACTAAACCTGACGAACATTAACAAACGTCCCAATATTTTCTGTATGATTATAGAAACGGCTCGTACGAGAGATTAGATAGACGTTTACCGCAACGGTCGTTGATTTTCGTCAAGAGTTCGAAGCTTGACTAATAAAAGGAAAAAGAAGAAATCCTGGGTATCTCTGTTAATAAAGACGCCAATCTTTTTGATGTATAGGTCACGGACAAAGACACATCTATGCGGGTACAATATAGATTATAACCGTGCACGTATACACTCACCGTTGGCCATTTAGGATATCCATTTGCGTTCGTACACGTTCCTCCATGGTATCATATATTTGCACGCACAGCGTTTTGTTGAATACAGAAAATAAGCCACGATTTTATATTAGAAATCCGACAATGCTTCCATTATAAGCTTCCATAGGCATTACGGTCCCGTGGAACTACTCAAAGATTTGAATGACTCACTGTTTGCAATAATTTAGAACTCAAGTGCTCGATAAAATCTCAGCATGTACGGATGAGTTTTAATTTCGACGAAAATAATTTTAATCGATACAGCTTTATCGTTATGAGTATCCGTTATTGATTCAGCTAATTTCGTCTGTTACGGAAGAACGCTTTTTGCAGTCAAATTTTAAGACGTTGAACCTAAAAAGAAAACGACGAATATGAGGAATAAGCAAAGAAAGCAACGCATCGAATCTTGCACTCTATTTTTTGTTATATCAGAGTCTACAAATTCCATTGTCAGCTATCTGATGTCGACATAAATCAAACGATTGCCACCGATCATATCGATCTATACTCTTTTGGCAATTAATTCGCCATCGTGTGTAATAATAACGAGCCTGCTTGATTTGTATGTTCGTGCCTCGGCAAATAATTACTACGATAAATTCATGTTTAAATCTCTCCGCTTGGAACCCTAAAACTTAATCACCTGCGAGGGAGACGCACCACTTGATCGACCGGTTATTTATTTTTCTCGGACGATGAAGAGCTTCACATAGTGGAACTGCTTCGATTAAAAATCATGGTTTCTATAAATTTCACGGGAAGATCAAAGACCCCTTCTTGTAGAGTATAATCGATCGAACAAACGTTCCTCGATTCCATTAAATCTATCGTATAGGAATTTTTATATGAAGTCATAAAAGCTATCAACAAAATAATAACTCAACTCATAATTTTACAGGATTTTCTACCCATAAATTTTCCAGGAGAATATGTCAATTTCGAAGAAAACCGCTATGAGATATCAGCCGTCAGCCCACGAGAACAATGTTCATTATGGAAACCAGTATTATGCTTCACGGCGCTATGTCTGTACTGTACCACGCTTGATTATTTTATATCTCTCATTTTCTGCCATCGACTAGACGAATTTATAAATTGTAAAAACTATTAAATTATGTGCATCGACCAGGGAGGAACAATCAACGTATGGACGTGGAGGGGTCAGTGCAGTAACAACGAGACGATCCGCAAATAAAGAGTACCTGCAGGAAATCTGCAAACATGAGCGAAGCAAACGGGCCAGTCCATTAATATTGCCTCGTAGGATCTGAACAAGAAACGAACGGTGGACCCGAGGTCTCTCTCCTCGAGCAAAGCTATAAAAATTAATTAGCTCTTAGAAGGAGAAGTTGAACGACGACTATACCTCAACTCGTTCAACAAAATCCATGAAGCCATCCTCCCTTGAAACGATCGTCGACCTCTCTCCGCGTTCGAAGGATCTAAGCTGGCACGGTGTAATGGATCTCCGATGGATGATCGATACGTTATCCCACGAACGACGTCCGATCCAAAACCTTTTTCTCCGCGTTGTTGTTCCAACGTATAATTAGTCATTGATTCGATTCGGGAACGTTTTGTTAAGATGGTTATATTTTAGGTCTGGATCGTGTCTACAAGATGATTCATTGCGACTGTGAGATTTTGAATCGCGATATATATATGTTTTATCTACCTTATCTATTTTCAGTGATGAAACAAATGTTCTTTTTTTACTTTCACCTTGAAATGATCTTTGTGGTAAAGATATTCAATTATAATTTTAACTTCTGCTTGAATTTTAGCAGTCGAGAGGAATAAGACGTGTGTATAATCCTCTCGAGATAATTCTTTGTTCTTTTCCGAAAATATAGTGACCCGCGTTGTACACGAAATTTTCGATAAAGCCTGTGTGTTTGCCAACTCTTCACAGCGGTAATATTTACTAGCGCTAATGGCTCGTTTTACAATTGTAGGAGGAAAAGAGGCTGCCGGGTAGAAAATGAAAGAGAGGCGTCTAATTTGACGTAGTACAATTGTCATACAGCACAGAGGGAATTCGATTATGGCCAGTATCCACAAATTGCCTTCTAGTTAACGGGAATATCTTGCGGTTGAACTATCGCGAGATAATTACACTTCAACCGCTATAATAGCAAGTTAGTTATAGAGAGGCGGATCTTAACTCGGGATCTGCGAGCTTGGTTGATCGAGCACATCCACGGGCAAAGGATCCGTTCTGTCATCGTTTACTTCTCGAGAAGACAAACTTCAATCCACGAATGTTTGAGGAAGCCGTTTACCAGTCATGTGAACCACGCGATGCCAATGTTAAACTGGCTTCTTCTTTTTATTTCTATTTGTTTTTCTCCTTCTTCTGTCTACATTTCCTTCGTTCATATTTCCACGAATTCTTTTCTGGTTAAAGTAGCTCTAGAAATTGCAATTTAGGACGATCTCCAAGATAATTCTCTTGTCTACGAAATTGTATAAATATCGGAGATTGACGGAACAATTGGTGGTTGACATATTTTTAACTACGAATAATGTTTCACGTTAATCTGCTTCTTTCTAATTAGCCTGTAAAAAAATAGCATGGAGATCGAAAGGACGCGATTGAATAAATTAGAGAACTGAACTTTAATCGACATAGAAACGTGAGAGGAAAAAGAAAGCAGCCAGATGTAACGCGACAAGAGGTAATAGATATTTTTCCAAGATTTAAAAGTGTCTGCAAGAGTCAACCCATGGAACCTTACCTCACACTATGTGCACTGGCGTTCAAGCTCGAGAGCTCTTCGCCTTCGGAACAATAAAACCATTCCTGTGGGGGAGTGAAACAACTCTGGAAACCGTTCTTCAGATTGCTGATGGAGGCACAGGTAGATCTCTATTCGGCACTTGAAAATAAAATTCTTTCGTTGCAGAATTCTCTCGTTTAACGCATTCAACGTTTAATAAGTTATATATTTATATATTTGGAAATATTTGTAAAAATCTTGTCTCTACTAATTTCCTTGCCGTTAGAACTTACCATTTTGCTATACATAACGTAAAATTCCTCTACTCGCAGGATCATAATTCACACGCACAAACAGAGTCGAAACACGAAATGACGATATTCCCGACCGAAAGGATACTGCGAAACAGCAACTTTACAATCACAGAACAGATTTTACGAGGCAATTGGAAATCAGAACGGGATGACCTTTGTTCGGAGATCTTTTATGAGCCCCAAAAACGTGCATATGGAGACGGTAGTTCGTGGACGAACCCTCGAGGACCGAACAATCGAGTGCCCCAAGAACTACCTACTCACTTACAGACTCTCACCTCGACTAGTCTACCTTTCTCTGTCCCTTGTTCTCTCTCTGTCATTCCATTTCTCTCCCCCTCCCTTTTAACAACCCTGTCCTGCGGCACCGAGTCATAACCACAAGGAGTACAATGGGTGGAAACCACTGGCGGCTTTTCACTGCCACTTCATCGTCCCGCCAATTAATTTCCGTGGAGCCGATCTCGTTCCTCAAGGAGACCACTCAAGAGCTGCCGATGGATGAGCATAAATCTGCAAATCCGTCGTGTCGCCCTTCTTTCTCCCCTCCTTTTGCCTAGTGCTATTAACGCGTTTAACTTGTGAGATCCACCTGAGTTGAGAGTAAGACCCTCGAGTGTTCACGATGGGCCAGTCATTCATCTTTTTATGACCGGCTCCTTTAAGACATCGTGCACGCGTCTAATTGTTACCTGTATTTTATAGCTACTAGAATAAGCTATGTGACGGTATATGGTTCTTTGAAGAGGAAGGACTCGGAGGAATTTACAATTTTTGGTAAGATAGAAAGGAATTTTCTTTTCTCGTTCGAGAACCTTTGGGTAATATTTTTTCGAGTGACGAGTAAATTTTTCTCTAATACGTAATCTGAAGATAAATTACGTTCTAAATTTCCCTATTGTTTTATATCTTTTATATTTAATTTTATTTATTCGTAAGATTCGAATGATAATAGCGACGATGATATACTGTTGCAGCTACTGCAATATAAATAAGTAAGCTAATGGAGCATAATTTCACGGAGCCATCCGTGGGAACCCGGACATCTTCTTCAGGAGCATCTGCGAATAAAATATTCGCGGTGCACTGGTGGAAATAAGGAATCGTCGCGCAGGTGATCCATTTCAGAGAACGCGGCCGGCTCTCTATAAGTGCCTAGCCGGCGGAAAAATTGAAAAGCCGCGCTAATTCGCGCGACAATGCTTCCCGGTTGCACGCCGGGACGAAAGTTTATCGCGAACCTCGCGAAGAACGACCTTTGGCTAGTCGCCAGTCGTGGTACGATCTTGCGGGACTCATGGCCAATGACGAGGACTACTCATGTTGCGCTGATTTGCATAATTTATTATGGACGAACGTTTCGGCGACAATTTGGTCGACATCTTCCTGCGTTAGGAAAAATTTCCCAGTCGATCAAACGCTGACTTTGTCTGTACTATCGACGTCGATCATCGAATAATTTCTTTCGCAATATATATGGAAAAAGGAAAGCTTCTGTCTGAGCTTCGATTATTGGTAATTCTATCATGTTCGTCCATTACGGCCGGAAAATAGCTGACGAAACTAATGCTTCTTTACGTTGATTTATGAAAAACGTTACATTTAGAACATAATCGTTTTCTTGTTATTTGTATTAATACGAATATCGATGAACCAGTAAATTTATTTTGTATGATCGATTAGGTGAATCCACCGGGCTAGGAGGCAACCGACGAGGATGCACCAACACGCGACTCGTAACACGGAATCAGAGCCATGGCCCTCGGTAACCTCGACTTGCCTGTGTGACGCTCGGTGATGGATGCACCGGCATTTACCAAAGTCGCTCGCCAGCTCGCTAGAGTCGCCTAGACGATAGGAAGGATCAGGGTGTAAAAAAGCAGCGACTTGGTCGGTGGAAGGACAAAGGAAACGAAAGAAAGAGAAAGAGAAAGAGAAACGAGGGGGAGGAAGAAACGCGAGATCCAAAGACGGCTACAGAGGGGAAGAGAAAGAGAAATGAGGGAAAAAGGAAGGGAAAGAGGTGTGCGCGCGGAATTCAGAAGCGGAAAGAGGGATGAAAAAAAGGAAAGGGGGATAGAGCAGACAGGGAGTTAGAGTGAAAGAGTAAGAGGAAGAGAGCAGGGATTAGATCTTAGGGTGAGTGGGTAGGATTGGATTTGGCAGAGGCGGCTCCTCACGTTGGTGGTAGAAGGTTGCAAGAGAAGGAGGAAAGGGGAAGCAGAGACTTTGGTTGGTGTCCGAGTGGTGGTGGGGTTGCAGATGGGGAAACGCATCGAACCAAGGGGAGAGCGTCAGAGAAGGAGAGACGTAAGTGACAGAATAGGTAGTGGTGTAGGTGAACTGGACAACCACCAGAACTCTCGCCAGTATTTAAGGGAGAGTCGCGAGCGTAGCGCGCCAGTTACTACGGCCGATTGCCTCCACGAGGTATCCCCGAGCTAAACGGAGCCACTGTGCACTGCACCGATTTCGCTCGAAAGAAAAGGGCGCGAAAAGTCTGAACCACGTGACTCGATTTTCCGAAACATCTCTCCCTTCGCCTGTTCTATTTGTATAATTCGCGACTCCGTCCCTTCGTTTGAGATTCATGTCGATTCAGTGAGGAAACACGTCGAAACACCACGAGTTAGAGCTTCCGATTTGACAATTAACGTTTAAAAATAAGATCCGAAATCCTTGATAGGAGAAGTGAGATAGTAAAAGGGTGATTGAGCCCGTGATAGCCATCGAATATGAACGAATGTGCGTCCCGTGAGGAAGTTCGCAGCGGTTCACGGAAGTGCACTATTTATGGAAGAGTTTGAACCGCCGCGCCAAGGGCTCTTTGGAACTTTCGCTCGTGGACCGTGCAGATGAGCGTGCTACCAAGGTATCGTAAGATTTTTCAGCGTATTTCAAGAGGAAAAGAATTTTCTAGGAATCGTCTCTTTTATCGCGTATAACCGACGACGTATTAAGAATTCTTGAAAAAGCAACCGGTTAAAGGGAACGATACGGATACGTGTAATTTTTATCTCGTTCTTTCAAACGCGATAATATTTTCGCGAACTGCATGAAATCATGTGTCATCGTTCCAAGATTAGATGCTACCGCAATTCCAAATTTACATCATGATTACTTTTATCACGAAGCTCGTTGAACTCTATCGACGGAAGGCTAATGTTTTATATAAAAACCGTTAAAATTTCTTTAATTAAACAAATTAAAACATTACAGAATTCCAAGATTCCAGAATCTTTCCCCACGTTTCTATCTTACTGCTCGTTTTTACTTGTCTTTTGTCTAAATCTCCGAGAAGAGGGATTGTTTTGCCGCAGCAATGGAATTTTAGGACGCTAAAAAGATTAAAACATTACAACGTTCAGTTATCCAGCTATTATTTCTTATTTTCTTTTCTTTTTTTTTTTTTTATTTATTTACATTTTATGTCTATGTATATACGTTTGAGAAGAAAGATTTTTTCGGTGAGAGAACATTAGAAATTTGCGGAGTTTCTCGTGAAAAAAATAATAAACAGTCGTGGAACATATGGCTGTGCAGATATCATACGTGTTAATTACGTAAGAGCCAGCATACAGAGGCGCGGCTTCTTTTTATCTTGCCGATGAAAAGAAGATGATCGAGCCTGTGATGGCAAAGCGCCAAACAGTTCTCCACGAACGACGAGAAGAAACTGCGACAGGATCGCGGGTGGTATCGGCCCCGGTGGCTTGTCAAAGCCACGGC